AAGACTCGTGCAAGCTTCTACTCAGAATTAGAGGACCGCATCCTCTGGCTCTCTCCCTTCTCAGCCTCTTACCACCAAATGCCAGGAGGGCTGTGGCCTTATAAGAAGAGAAAGAGAGACACTTGTCACTCTCTCTGTCATGTGAGGACATAGAGAGATGGAGACTGTCGCCAAGAAGAGGGTCTTCACCAAAGCCTGACCATGCTGGCATCCTGACCTTGGACGTTCAGCTTCCGGAACTGTCAGGAAATACATGTCCTTTGCTTAAGTTCCTGGCCTGTGGTATTGTTTTGCAGCCCCAGCCAACTAAAACAGTCACCCAACCCAGCAGAAGGCACAGGGAAGGACTCAATTGAACTCATTTTATCGACACTGAGGGAAGTAGAACAAGCTGCAGAGCCTGCAGAGCGCCTCTCGCCTGCTTCTCGTCCTCCTCCGGAGTCTTGATTCATTAGCTCATGCAGCTTCTCACATTAAGAACTTTTTATCAACTCTTTTTGCCTTTTTTTTTTAGCTCTTCCTGTGCCATTTTTATTGCTCACCCCAAGAGATAACCCAGCAGCAAGACAGATTTTTATCCTGAATATCAGGTAGACCTTCCATCTCTTTTTTTTTTTATTAAGGCAGCTGAACTTCTGCCTTTTTTATCTTGCAAAGTGAGGCAAGCAGGATAGAGAAGAAAGGAAATAAGCCACGAAGCCCTCCCTAAAGTGACAGGCAGGGAAATTGGTTTGCCTTTTCTGCTGCACACAAAAGTGAAATGTCGTCAAGTCCTGTAGATCCTGCCTTCTGAGAAAGTGAGTCCGCACAGACACAGAGAACAGCCTGCGGTCGCCAGAGGGAGGGGCCGGGGACTGGAGACTGGGTGCTGGGTGGAAAAGGTGAAGGGATTAAGAAGTACACATTGGTGGTTGCAAAATAGTCAAGTACAGTATATAGAGAATATAGGCAATAATATTGTAATAATGCATGGTGCTGGGTGGGTACTAGAATTATCGGGGGGATCACTTTGTAAAGTATCTGATTGTCTGACCACGATGCTATACACCTGAAACTAATACGCAATAATATTGAATGTCAACTGTAATTGAAAAGAAAAAAAAACACAATTTTTTTAAGCGAGCCTACAGGCTGTTCCCTGACAAAGCCATAAGCAATTCAGAGAGAAAGGTGAACCCGGTAGATGTGAGGTCCACACATGTGGCGGGCTCCCCTTCCTTCCTGCCTTTTCTTGCCTCATCAAGATTCTTCTCCCTCACAGAGCAGCCCATCTCCTCCAGCAACAGTCACCCAGGCCTGCCCCCCGCCGTCCCGGGACCCTTCTCCTTCCACCTGGGCGCTCAGTGGATGCCATCCCTCGGCCCTGGCTCTCACCCCTGCAGACCCCTCTGAGCCCAGCCTGTCCTTCGTAAGAGCAAGGCCTCATGTTAGAGGGGTGGGGCTTCTGCACATTCCCTTTGTGGTCAAAATGGTGATAGTCATACTAATAACCATCATGTATTGATCACTATCTATTTACACGTCACAGTGCTAAGTATTCGACGAGCACGGTTTCATCTGAGCCTCACGACTTTAGGCCCTGCATATGATCACCATCGCCACTTCACAAATGAGGAGAGTGAGTCTTAAAACGGGATTCCTAAAGCCAACCAGTTCCTAAAGTCAGCAGGCAGTCGGGGCCCTGCAGGCGGCCCAGGAACTGGCCGACAGATGCAGAGCCTTTGCGAGATTCTGATGGAGAAGTCAAGCCAAATTATTTCGACTCATTTTGTAGACAATTAAAGGCTGCTTAGTAACCGTTCCATAATTGCGTCATTAAGGGGAACTACCATTTGGTTTTCATAAACGAAAATGAGCTCATTGCTAGAGTTTATCGCATACTCTAATCCAATATTTTACCGAAAGGTGGGTGGCTTGACAATGCTGTATCGGTTCCACGGTCGCCAGGCATGTGCAGAGCTTGAAGACCCATAATTTTCACAACTCTCCACTGTCAGGCGTCACTGCCTTTGTCTTGAATTTACACTCAAACCTATTGCTGTTTACTTGCTCTTACGTGATATTTCAGCTTTATCACTATTTATATTATTGGTTGTGGGCTCTTCTCTAAACCCTATAGAGCAGCGGTTCTCAACCTGTGGGTCGCGACCCCTTTGGGGGTCGAACGACCCTTTCACAGGGGTCGCCTAAGACCATCGGAAAACACATATATAATTACATATTGTTTTTGTGATTAGTCACTATGCTTTAATTATGTTCAATTTGTAACAATGAAATTGGGGGTCACCACAACATGAGGAACTGTATTAAAGGGTCGCGGCATTAGGAAGGTTGAGAACCACTGCTATAACTATAGAGAGTGGTGAGGTCTATTGACATATATTTTCACCTGTTATTTTTCAAGAACTATACTGAAATGTCCTATTGGGCTAAATCAAACGAAATTACCTGTCTTCAACCATTTTTACCTTCAGTTAAACCAGTGGTCGGCAAACTCGTTAGTCAACAGAGCCAAATATCAACAGTACAACGATTGAAATTTCTTTTGAGAGCCAAATTTTTTAAACTTAAACTATATAGGTAGGTACATTGTTATTAACTTAATTAGGGTACTCCTAAGGCTTAGGAAGAGCCACACTCAAGGGGCCAAAGAGCCGCATGTGGCTCGCGAGCCGCAGTTTGCCGACCACTGGGTTAAACCATATGAAACTGACTCCAGTCAACCCTTCTTGACCTACAAAAATGACAGTTTCGTGTGGTTCATCCTAATAGTTCAAATGTAAATTCTTACCTCATTTGCTAGAAATTGTGTGTATAATACCCTCCAAAAATGTAGGTACTGTACCACTTCACAGTACCTGTGAATTTGTGTTTTAAATAATTTGTAACATACTATTATTATAAGTTACTATAAAGGAAATTGCTATTATTTTAAATTTGCAATTTTTTTCTATGAGTTGTTTATGTTTCTCTCTCGTGCTTCAGCATCACCTGTTTCCTTTTCACTGTGCAGTGGGAATGGGTAGGACATGTGGACCTTGGGGACTTTTGTGCTACCTAGACAGACGCTGGTCAAAAAAACGTAAAAAGCACAGCTTTTGGGGCGAAGGAGGTTTTCCCAGCCCCACAACTAGTAAGTGTGGATTCAGGATTCAGATGGAAGTCAGCCTGCCTCGCTGACTGAGGAAATGATGCCTATTTTCGTAAATGATGTCAGTTATACCTCTGTAGCCTCCTGAACAAAAAAAAACAAAAACAAAAAACAGGCTTCCGTGATATCTCTATAGGGAACTTAGGTTACCACCATTTATTGAGTGCCAGTCACTCTGCTTGGTATGTTAGGTCAAACCTCATTTAATACCACCACAAGCCTTGGGAGGTTGGTGTTATCAATCCGTCCTGGTGGGAAACAAGTTCACAGGCTTGAGTCTAACTCAGTGTTGCAGAACAGGTGGTGAGCGCAGGAAGCAAACTTCAAAACCCATTTGAATGCTCACCACTTGTCTTTTCTTGTTCCTCCCTCCCCCTTCCCTCTGGAACCTGTTTCTCTACCATTTTCACTATTAACCCTTGAACACTCTCTCCCATGGACAAATGCAGCAGCCACCTGGACTCCACCCTCTCTCCGTCCCTACCTACCCCCCACATGGCCTCCAACTTGTTCCACAATTCTATGCGTAGATCTGATCACAACCCACCTCTTCCATGGCCCCGTGGTGCTGGTGAGGTAGAAGGCATTTCCCAGTCCAGCCTTTCAGCTGTGGGGAGGGTCTGCCGTTCCATGCCGCGACCACTTCCTGTCCCGCAAGCTGGGTCCGGGCCAGAGGGGAGGTTGCTTTCCACAAACCTCCCTGAGAGACTATCTGGTCGTAGTTCACTCTGATACACATCAGCACCGCTCCACTGCCTCCTGCCATGTGCTGGTTCCTGGAACTGGTTGTTGTACTGACCTGGTCAAGCATGTAATTTCCTGTACCTGGTAGAAGCCTCATATGGTCCCTGTGACTGTCCCCCTTTTACCCTATATTCTTCTTTGGTGCCCACCAAGGGGCACAAGGGTCCATTTGGCCTTGCAGCCACCCAACGCATGCCTCCTGTAAATTTCCCTTTAAAAAGTCTATTCGTTACCAGATGAGTGGCCAGCCTCTTTCTTCAGTCTTTCCCTCCTCTCTGCTTACAGATGTGGATTTGCAGATCCAGAAACTTTCCCTGGGCCTGTGTGTGCTATCACCCACCTACCTTCCTGACCATCTCTGCCAACACTCCCTATCCCCAGCCCCCACCCCAATGACCCCTCCAGCCCTTCCCATTTCCTCTAACACCCATGACTTTTCTAACCCAACTCCTGAGCCTCCTTGCACTTGCTACTCAGGGCACCTGGAGGGACTTATTTTTTTTACTACCTGCCATTTCTCCACCTGGCAAATTCTCCTTCCTTCAAGGCCCAATTCAAAGGTCGCCGCCTGTTGGAGAGTCATCCCAGACTCTCCTTGGCAGTTCGTAGCTCCTTTATGTCCACAGGACTTTGCACACATTTTTAATTAGACAGACAGTTTCTGTTGAATGATAGAATGTTGAATGTTGTTGTTGAAATGTCTAATCTATCTTTCCCACTTGATAATGAGCGCCTGGAGGATAAAGATCATGTTGTATTTTCTTTGGATTGCCAGCCCTCAGAAAGCGCTTGGCACAAGGTCAGTACTCAATAAATATTCATTAATGTGCAAATACCCCCGTAGTCTCTGGTGCACATAGAGCATACTGAGAAGCTGTTCAGTACAGCGGATTGAAACGGAACCTAGAGGAAGTATGACTGATTCCAGTCTGGGCTGGTCTACCAGCTGGCCGTGTCACCAGGGACAGCACTGATCTGGGTCTCAGTCCCCTCACTTGTAAGGGGGTGGGGGACGGACATCTGAGTGTCCTTTCAGGGCTCACATCCGATGATGTGAAGGACTTGACAGCTCATCTCTAAAACTATCTTTTTTTCTCACCCAAAGGAAAAGACGTTGGAGGTCTTCTAAGGAGAGTCATGGCACACACTCTGGAGCCTCTATCCCAGATGCCCGTCATCAAGTTCAAGGGCCAGGACTTTAAGACCCTGCGGGATCGTTGCCTAAGCAGAGGCCTCCTGTTTGAGGATGAGACCTTTCCTGCCGAGATTTCTTCCATAGGCCCGTTGCTGCTCCAGGGAAAAGGCCTCTCCAGGCTGCAGTGGGAGCGCCCAAAGGTGAGTGAGCCCCCAGGCACACACACATCCACCTCCTGGGCCCTCTGAGCCAGCCCACCATGGCCCCTCAGGACCCCTGAGTTCTAACCCAGCTCTAACACTGAGCACATCACTAGATGACCTGCCTTGGTATTCTCACCTGAAAAATGAGAAGACATAGGTGTGAAGAGTGTCTCTGAGGTCTCTTCCGTCTCCATAATTGAGCCTGTCATCACTCTTTATTCTCTTCAGGTATGACTGTCTCTATCTCCTCTTCCTTTTTATCTGTTAGAATTTACTCAAAGGGAAGCTACCATGTCAGTCACTTGTACAATAGGATGAATTTAAATAATTGGCTCGCCTCTCTCACTTTTATTTGTATTTTCAATCTTGCAAAGACCTGATCACCTACAAAAGAATTTTAGACATCAGCGGGAAAATTAGGAAGCTATTTCAGGGCAACATTCCAAGTCCTCTGAGTCCCCCACCCCAGCAGATGGCCACTCACTCCACCTTGCAGCAAGGAGAGCCTTGTTGGTTTTTCCAGAACCATCTCAGTTTCAGGGAGCGAGGCTCCAGAGGACATTGCTCAGCCAACTTAATGTTTTCATAATCTCATCAGGGCCACTGCTGATGACAAAGACCCAGGTCACGGTCACTGTGAGTGCCCTGGTGCTCAAAGCTTCTGTTTGTGCTTCCAAAAGCAGCCAGTGGAACCTAAAACAAGAGAAAATGCTATCGTGTCTAGTAAGCTAACGATGATAACATCAGCAAGTATAACTGAGCACATATAAAATGCCATGCACTCTACCGAGCACTTTCAGTAAAGTCACGTTAGGTCGTCCAGAAAAGGCATTTTCTGGCGACACAGAACAAGACACAGAGCTCTGGGGGTGCCAACTCAGGACAGACCTGAAGCCTCAGGGAAGGAGGAGATTAGTGGGGATCAGGTGGGGCTTGGATCTGCTTAAAGAAAGATGGGGTGCTCCAGCCTTCTAGGACCCATCTTCCCAGCCAGCAGCAACAAGTCCCCACAATGACTCTCTTCCTAAGGCCTTCCCCTCCTAAGGAGGGCTGACCAGAGAACTCTGTTTAACATTTGGAAGGGTTAAATATTGTTTTGTCTGGGTTATTTTCAGAGGCTGAGATTCTTTTTGAATGTGTTTCCTTTTTTTCATGCGGTGCTGGGAATAGATGTGAGACCACATTTATAGTGTTTAAGAATTTATACATCTGTTTAGAAAGGGTTGAGAGTTTCTTGTCATCTTAATTCCAGCAGCATCTCAACTTGAGATGTCTTTGGGGGTCAGGGAGAAACGTAGGCAAACAAAAGTGAAATGACTTACACAGAATCATGCCAGGGAGCACAGACAACAGGGTGGCGAAGGCCTGGGCGGGCGTGGAGCCTGGTTAGAAGGGGTCAGTGGGGGATAAAGGGGACATATGTAATACTTTCAACAATAAAGATTTGAAAAAAAAAAGAATTTTTCCAGGAACCCAGGATAGAGGCACCAGGGGCCAAATGCAGTCTATTCCCATTCCTCTTCTACCAGGGGCTGTCTTTTCCATTCCAGCACTTCTTTTAAAATGTATATGTGAATATGTCATCTATCTTTGTGTTTCTTATCACAGCTGGCAGTATAGTACTTCCCAGAGCTTTCCATGTGTCTTACTTTGTCTCCTTTGTTCTTCTTTATTTCATGGATAATAATAAAAAATCCCATTTATCAAGTTTGTACATGTGCTACGTATTAATCTAAGCACTTTACACATCACATTGCCACAGCAGCCCCGTGAGTCGATAACATTATCATCCTTGTTCAGTAGGTCGGCACTGCCCAATAGAACTTTCCATGAGGATGGGAAGGTTCGTTCTGTGCCGTTCATTACAGCAACCACTGGTCACATGTGGTTGTTCAGCACTTGGAATGTGGGTTGTGTGACTGAGGTTCTGAAGTTTTCATTTTATTCTGTTTAAATGAATTTAATTTAATGTACCTTATTGGAGAGCACAGCAGAGTCACCAGTGTATGTCAGGTTGAGGGATTAAAATTTCACCATTGTCCCCATTCTTTAGTGAAAAACATTTCACTTCTCAACTGAAGAATGGGCTATGGGCCCAAACCACATTGATGGGCGCTCAGAGAGCAACACCCAGCCCCACTGTGGATTCTGGCCCGTGGCCATCCCAGAATGCAGCACTGCCTGCCCAGGCAACAACTTTCTCCTTCCCAGGAACCAGAGCAGACTTTCTGAAAGGATCCTTCACTAAGAACAATTCACCTTGGGACCAAAATGAGTTCTTCCATAAAGTGGAGATATGAGTGTAAGTTGTAAAAGCAACAAGTAACAGAAGGTGAGAGAAAGTAAACATGTCAACAGACAGTTGCCATTGAGCGGAAGAACTTTGATGCCAATAAAGCCAATCTTCCTAGAGAAAATAGAAGAGGGAGTGACGCTGCCACCAGGCCCAGCCTGAACTCTGGCCACCCTCTGAAAGCGCCTGTGTCTAAACGCCCGTATGCTAAGCCTGGCGTTCCCTCATGCGAGAGCAGCACACCGTCTGGGGACGTGCCTGAGCAGCCTTTGAAAAGAATGCAGGAATCACTGTCGAAAATAGACCCAGTGATGTCCCATTGGGAGAGACCCCTCCAGAAACGATGCGGGAGAGTGTGGCTTTGGCGCCACTCCAGGGAGGGGAGTTTCTCAAACTCCAGGGACTTTTGCGTTACTGTTTCTGGCATCCCGAATGTAACAGGGGGTGCCCCACACTTTGCATTGAGAACGAGCTCCACAATTCAGAACGAATGTATATCCTGTAGCATATAACTAATAGGAAATATATCCATATTCCCTATTGGTAGATTTACTCTGAGAAATTGGCTCACGTGTTCACGGAGGCTGAGAAGTCCCACACTCTGCCATCTGCCAGCTGGAGACCCAGCGAAGCCAGTGCCGTAGTTCAGTCTGAGAGGCAAGGCCTGAGAACCAGGCAGCAGATGGTGTAATTCCCCATCCAAGGGCAGGAGAATGCCAATGTGCCAGCTCAGCAGTCAGTCAGAGAGAAGGGCAGTTCTCCCTTCCTCTGCCTTTTGTTTTATTTTTCTCTGGATTGGGTGAGGCTCATCCACACTGGGAGGGCAATTGCTTTCCCGAGTCCACTGATTCACATGCTAATATCATCTGGAAACACTCTTCCAGATCCACCTAGAAATGGGGTTTAGCCACGTACCTGTGACCCAGTCAAGCTGACACAGGAAGTCGACCATGGCAGTTTTCTTCTGCACAAATGGGTGTTTCAGTGCTCTCAAAGGGCCAGTCTGCCTCACAGAATCAGGAAACACCAAAGTCATGAAGCCCCTGCCTGCTGGTGTGGTCCCTGGGGAAGAGCCAGGCACCAGGGAGGTGGATTGCCGACCCCAGCTGCTTCCTGTGGGCCCTGGAACAAATCTCTGCTTCTCTGCACCTGCTCGCTCCGCCTCGCAGGACTCACCTGAGGAGCTGTCAATCCTGGGCTCTGCCTCTGGATGACCTGCTGAATCAAAGCTGTAGGAGGGGGGGACCTAGGGGTCTCCATGCCCGAGAGCCCGTGGTGATTGAGTCACGCCCGGGGTGGATACTCTGATCCTTGCCAGTGACTTCACTGCCCTGTGCTCCTGGTCCAGCTGGAGACAGGGGGACTGCCGGGAGCCAGCGCCTTACCATCCTCCCAGCCATCTTTACCCATTTTCTCTGTGGACCTTGTCCCAGGAGGTCAGCCCAGCAGATGAGAACACTTCTTAGTCTACTTCTGCCTCTTTCTACCTTTTTTTTAAAAATATATTTTATTGATTTTTCACAGAGCGGAAGGGAGAGGGATAGAGAGTCAGAAACATCGATGAGAGAGAAACATCGATGAGAGAGAAACATCGATCAGCTGCCTCCTGCACACCTCCCACTGGAGATGTGCCCGCAACCAAGGTACATGCCCTTGACCGGAATCGAATCTGGGACCCCTCAGTCCGCAGGCCGACGCTCTATCCACTGAGGCAAACCGGTTAGGGCCTCTTTCTACCTTTGAGACCCTCCAGCACCCATGGAAGCCCAGGGTGGGGAAGGAACAGGCAGCTCAGAGGTCAGGGGACTTAGATGCTGGTCATGTGCCCAAAGTTGATTGATGTTGACTATGGACTTTTTATTGGAAATAATTGCCATTTAATTTTTATAACATTAAAATATCTTTCTGTTCCTAATTAGCTAAAATTTTGGGTTTTTTAGTTTTTATTTTTATTACTTGGGCAAATCAGAGAAACTTGTGCATTTATCAAATGCCTTCATGGAAGGATATAAATTGTCTCCTCTTTGGCCCATGTAAATACTTTTTTCCATCATTGGATATCCTGATATGAAACCACCCTGGCAAATTTCTATGGAAAACCCTACTTGAGAGTGGGTTAGTCTTGTCACTTATGGTAGATTCATTGGCTGGGTATGTTATTTCATGTGTTTCCATGAGTATAATCAGCCTGGTGCGTGTGTGCTTCTGTGTTCTCTCTCTCTCTCTCTCTCTCTCTCTCTCTCTCGGTTTGGGCCTCCAGGCTGTGCTGGCTTCTTAGAATAAATGGTGGCAGGATTCTTCTTCCAACCTTTTTTTCAAACAATGAAACTGTAAGTGACACTGGAATTGTCTAGTCTGTGAAAGTTTGAGACAACTCGGCAGGAAAATCACGTGTACTTAGCAGCCTTTACAGAGATGGTGGGGAGATGTTCTGGGGTCATTTAAAAATACTATTCCAAGGTTATTGATCTTCTTGGGTTATATACTAACTTGAATAATTTGGGGCAGTGTTCATTTTCATCAGAAAATCATTAGTACTTTTAAATGGATTAGTACAGAATCTTACTTCATGTTTTAAATTGCTAAAACCCAATTTTTGCTACTTTTATTTGGGTTTCTCTACCACATTTGCCAAAGGTTGGATCTATGTAAGCCTTCTTGCCCAAAAGGAACAATTTACTTGCACTATTGATTTCTCTGTTTTATAATTCACTAATTGTGCTCTTTTATCACTTCTTCCCTCCTGTATTTGCCAGGCTCTTTTTGTCTTTTCCTTTCTAACATCTGTGAGTCGACTACTTAATTCATGCTTTTATTCTATGTTGTTTAATAATGAATGGATCTGAGGTTCTGGGTTTGTCTATGAATATGGCTTTTCAAAGTTTGCAAATACTGCAGACGGAGGGAATCAATATTTATTGAACATATACCCTGCCAGGCGCTGTGCTAAGTATTTCGCTTCCTTCCTCGTGTGGAAAAGGGAAGGGCTCTTGCTTTGCCAGGCCGCTGGTGGGAGGCAGGTGGACAAAGCGCCTGGCCCTCCGGAAGGGCTGATAATGGCAGCCGGTGCCTGGGTCACCTTATCGTTGGAGTCTCCCATTTTGCACACGAGGAAACGGAGGCTCCGCAAAGGAAGGGAAGTTGCTCAGGGCCACCAGGGAGCAACGCAGAGCAGGATTCCACACCAGGTGTGTCTGACCGGACTCTCAAGCACCCACACCCCTCCTCCGCTGATCACTGGGGGGGACCAGCAGAACCAGTGAGGAAGAGGCGCGCTGGGGGTGGGTCAGAAAGCTGAGCACCGTTGCCTTTGTTCCTGGTCCAGGAGCCCCGTGGTTCCTCTTCCCCAGCTCCCATGCGTGGAGGTCTAAGCGTCTGCTCCCTGGCAGCGGCCCTCCACTGGGGCCTGACTTCCTTTTCCAGTAGGAGCGGGGACAGGTAAAGTCCATGAAGTGCCCCCAGTTGCTTTCAATCTGGAAGAGTCGTTCCCTCCATGGCTCTGCAGAGACCTCTGCCCTGCTTGCTTGTGTTGGGAGAGACCCCCACGTTCTGCCCAGCCCTGGGGGCAGCAGAGGGTTGGGCGTGGCGCCTCCACCCCAGGGCCTGGGCCCAGTGCCCCTCTTGCCATCTGAGAGGGCTGGTTACTTGTGGACAGGCGGCAGGAGGAGGTGCAGTGAGTCATGGCCCCTCACGCGCCTGCGGAGCCTCCGTGTTTGCAGACATGCCCACCTTTGCTTGCCCCTTGGCGGCTCCACCAGGAAACGTAGCTTACAAAGGGCTGGCAGGTCTCACAAGGCAGGGACTCCGCACATGCATGGCTGTTGAGCAAATGAATCTATTTCCACTTTGCAGCCCTGCTCCCTGGGGACTTATTTGTCAATGTGAAAAGAAATGATACAGGCACAGTTAGCAAATTCCGCAAACGTGTGCGATGGAACTCCCGGCAGAGCTGCGGGGAGAGGATGCTGAGGGTAGTCCCACTGACTCCTAGCAGGGGCAAACCTACAGGCTGGTGGGGCCGGGGCAGGAGCCAGACCTTTACCCAGTGTTTTCCCCAAGGGCCCGGGGGCCCCTCAGGAACTCTCACCATCCTCATGTCTGCTGCGAGTTCCCAAAATTCTCCCAGACATCGCAACACTGCCGAATCCTCCAGCGACCCTCTCTGTAGCCAGCAGGCGCTGTGTGTGCTGGAGGTTGGGGAAGAACTAGGCTCTGAGTAACAGCACCTGGGATGAGGGGCCTGGATCTTCTAGAATCAGTCAGGGAGCCAACAAAGATCTGAGTAGTGCACATCCTGCATCCTGAACGGCACGTGGCTGCACTTGAACCTGAAGCCCAGAAGGCCCAGGCTGACTTCTAAGAGACAACATTTCACACGGGAAAGTTTTATTATGTCTATAAAAGTTTCCTCTAATAAATGTATCCGATTCTTTTTCTCTCTCATTTATAACCTCTTCATAAAACACTGCCTGTTAGCACCAGGATGGCTGAATATCTGATGCGGGGATCCTGAGACCTTATTGATGTTATCTCCTCATGCAGTTGCTTAGGTATTTATTGCCTGTCTCACAGTTACATATACACCCTGGTGACGGCTGCCTTCCTGATAGCAATAAAACCTGAAGAATGAGGGGAACTTTTAAGCACCTATTTAAGAATTAACCTCTACTTCTCAAAGACAAAGTGAGTGATGTCTTGGGTACCACTCTGGGACACAGAGGGATGAAAGATGCTCATGGCTTTTCTCCCTCTTTCCTAAGGATTTATTGATGGGTAAAGCAGAGCCTCATTTCATCCTGGAAGGTGCGAGCAGATTTGACATCCAGCAAGGGAAGGCAGGTAAGAACTCACCGTCTTCTCTTCCGGCCGTGGATCAGGGCAGGCTGCTCAAAGTCAGCCTCTGGATAGGGAGGTGTGGAGACCCTCAGAACTCTGTCCCAGCTGCTGAGAGGGGAGGCCGGCCCCTCAGAGACGGACAGCCCATGTCCAGTCTGCAGCCTGCACGTCAGCTCAGCCATGGGTGTGCAGGGCCATTGCGGTGAGGCATTATCGAAGAAAGGGAGAAAATGGACACAGGATTTAGTCTGAGCACTGGGTAGAGAGACGCATCCAGAAGATGGGAGGAGAGAGAGACCGAGAAAGGGAAGCAAGTGTTCATTGAGCTTTTGCAATGCTGTGCTAGATACTGTGCATGTGCTGTTTTCTTTACGCCCGGTAACATCCCCACTCTATACGTATATGCAAAACCAAAGGGTCTAAGAGGTAAAATCATGTCTTTCATGTCACATAAACAATAAGTGACAGAGTTGGGTTTGAATCCAGGGCTGTTTGACTCCCTCCCACCCACCAGACAGCCATGGATCAAAGTTGTTGCTAAGAGGGCTGGCCTTGAAGAAGGCCACTGGGCGGGACCAGGAATGGCCGAGAGAAATCCCTGAGCCAGAAGCCCAGGAGTGGGGGAGTTGGGGGGTGGACAGGCTGAGAGAGGAAAGTGGACAGGGAAGTAGGAGACAGCACAATCAGACTCTTCTAAGAACAGACTCTCTATCCTTAAATGCCTGCCTACAAGTTATGCCTGCACCTGGACTTCCCCTGATGGAATCACGGTGTCTTGGGCTAAGTGGATAGAAGCCTGTGTTTCAGTGTTGGGAAGAGCCCCCAGCAGCTAATAATCCTCCAGATAGAGCTTCCCCTATGTGAAGATGGGACCTCTCTGAGGGCGTTTCTGTGCCTGACACAAGATGGCATTCAAATAATTGATTGTGTTGAAGAAAAAGGAGGGAAGACTCAGGAGAAGGGGATGATGCTCATGCTCAAAGGGCTCACCATGACATCCAAGGAGAAACTCAAGGCTTCATTGCCCTCAAGGGGGAAGAGGAGAGAACCCCTGTGTGGGCTAGAGGGGTCCTGACACAGGGAGAGGCTGAGCAAGTATTAACAAAGAAAAGCACAAATCTATTTGCTGATAACAAAAGACACTGTCACTTTAGTTCTGAGCACCTCTGGCAAAATGAGAATCAGAAGACAAGTTGGCCCACCAGCCCTGCCAAAGCCTGGCTGGCGCTCTCCTGACCTCCCTCAAACCACCATCACTTCCACCAACACCTCCACCATCAATCACTTCCACCAACACCTCCACCATCAGTCACCCCCACCATTACCTCCACCATTAATCACCCCCACCATCACCTCCACATCAATCACCTCCACCATCACCATCAATCACCCCCACCATCACCTCTACCATCATCACCCCCACCATCACCTCCATCATTATCATCACCACCAGCTCCTCTGTCTTACTTAGAACTGGCTCTAGTGAATCCTTCCTTCAATTCTCTCTTAGATAGAAGAAAAACGCATTATTCAGAAGGACATATGTGGACTCTGGTAACAAAGACCTGCGAAATGCATGGGGTGGGGCTTCCAGTAAGCCTCTCACACTTGGTGTGTGTCCCCTCACAGGAGACTGCTGGTTCCTGGCAGCACTGGGCTCCTTGACACAGAACCCACAGCATCTGCAGAAGATCCTGATGAACCAAAGCTTTTCCCACCAGTATGCAGGGATTTTCTGTTTCTGGGTACGTGCACTGCTGGGATGCTCCCACATGGTTTTCTCTGAGCACAGGGGATGACTGTCTTGAATATTCCCTTGTCTGACATCCTGAGATGTGGAAGAGGCACTAACTTATGTGTTAGTTACACTGCATAGCTCCAAGAAAGTATGTGAGCTCATAATCTGACAACGCCTGGGAAAGATGAGAGTAAAAATGTTCTCATGTAAATTATTTTTATTTTTGTATTATTTATTCATTTACTTTTGAGAGCACATTTATTAAAGCTGAGAAAGGTGAAACAAGGAAGGGCTTAGGATAGAAGAAGCAACAGGAGAGAGCCTAGGTGGGGCTGCTTCGGCTCACTGAGAAATCAGAGAAAAGAGGCCTTGTGGACAAGCTCAGGGGGTTAATCCAGGACGAGCTGCCACTGCCCGTTGCTCCCCTGGTGGCAAGTCTCCTGGGGTCCCTTAGAGGTTAGGAGATGTGTGCCTGTGGGGAAGAAGAGGAGGAAGGGAGAGGCATGAGCATGCTCCTGAGAGGGTGAGTGAGCCCTCATGTAATTTTTTTAAAAGGCAGGTGCAATCACCAAAAGAAAAAAGGAGTCTTTGATCAAGAACCCTGTACATCATCGAGCTTTTGTCTATATCTAGTTTGTGCCATATCAGGTTATTTTTATCACACTAGCTTGAGAATAAGTTGTAACATCTGGTAGGATGATTTCACCTTCATTATTCTTTTCTCAGAAATATCTTGCTAATTCTTGCACATTTATTCTTCAATGAGAACTTTAAAATCATTGTGTCTAATTAAAAAGAAAAGCCATTGTGAGGCGAAGTGGAGCAGCAATAAATTTATGTATTAATTTGGAAAAATTACACTTTTATTATGTTAATGATTCATTCCAGAAACATGGTCTATCTTTCCATTTATTCAGAACTAGTTTTATACCCTTCAATAAAATGTTATGGTTTTGTTTTCATATTAGTGCTGTACCCTTCTTGGTAAATGTAGTCTCACATATTTTACGGTTTGTAGCTCATGTGAATGAGATTTTTCCCCTCATTTCTAACTTCTAGATGTTGCTGAAAAGAGAAAAGCCACTCCTTATTAGATATTAAATTCTATCCAGCCACCTGACCACATTCCTTTATTTGTTCTAACTTTTTTCTTTAGTAGACTCTGGATTTTTTAGTTATCTAATATTTTCTGCAAATAAAGATGATTTTGTCTCTTCTTTTAATATTTATAGAAATTATTTGCCCTTGTGCCTTGTCTCTTAAGTTAGTACCTGACAATTTTGAATAAGAGTGACAAGAGTAAAACCCTGCCTTCTCTGGTTTTTAGTTATATATTTTCCTGGTGCTCTGTTCTTTAAATACACTGTTGGATTTAATTTGTTAAAAATTTGAATAGAATTATTGCATCTATGTAATATGTAGAATTGGAGTCTAGTTTTTCTTTAAATGTTTGAGTTTTACTAACTTTTTAAAGTGAACCCATTGAGCTTTACATACTTTGATCTGACATAATTTGAATAATGGTGTTATTCATTGGTTATCTTTTGTTTGAAAGTAAAATACATAACAGATCCAGATGATTGAGGCTTTGATTTATATAATTACTTTTAGTTATTTTCATTAATTCCCATTTATTTTCTCTTGGTTAATTTTATTGTGTTTTTTAAGTTTTCTGAATCTTCACATTTAATATTATTAGTCTTTTTTTAATCATAAAAAATTTGAGACTAGAAAATTTCCTCTGAGATCTTATTTCTATCTATAGGTTTCAATATAAAATATCTTGCTTTTATTAATTTTAATATAATATATTTTTAGTTTTGAGTACATTTTATAGGGAGGTCATCTTTTGGTTGTAGAGTTTTAGATTTATTAAATTATGGTAAAAATATAGTCCATAAATCTCTATGTTTGGGGAAATTATTAAAGTTTTATTTATGGTCAAGTCCATCACATTTTTGTAAATGCTTCATTTGCAGATTATATAATCTACAATCATCTCTTTTATCTTGGCTTATTTTTTGTCTGTGTGATTTGTCAAATTCTAAAAGAGGTGATGAAGTTCCCCAAAGTTAGAGTTTGGAGAGTTCCTCTTATGCTTTCAGATATTCTGGCTTTATATTCTTCCTGCTATATTCATTAGTGCCCGAAGATTCTTATTATCTGGTTGGTGAAATAAAGCTTACAAATATATCCCTCTTTGTCACATGTAATGCTTTGGGCCTTCAGTTCCTCTTTATGTGATATTCATATTGCTATTCCAGCTTCCTGCTATTTACACTTCCCTGTTATATCCTTGCTCATCCCTTCATTATCAATTTCATTTTCACCATTTGATGTTTCTTATACAATTTAAACCTTACTTAAACCTTATCGCTCACCATTGTTTCTCTCACCCTTCATTTCCTCTTATTGAAGACTTTTGTTCTCATTTCATCGTCATTCGGTAGGAATAGTTCCTTGAATAATTTCCTCAGATGGCATAAGTGTATTTTATTTGCTCTTTCTTAAGAATGATATTGCAATTGGGTTTTGAATTCTTGGATCACATTCCCTTTCCTTAAGACTCTATAAACATTATTCCATTGTCTTATAGGGTCCTATGTTGCAGAAGAAAAAACCCAATGCTAATCTATGCTCTTACTTTGTATGTAACTGGTTCTTTCAGACTACAAGTTAATAAGAGGCTCTTTCTCCCCTTGGTGTTCTGAAATTTCTCTGGAATATGTCCAGATTTTGCCTTTTTAAAATCAATCTTGACTGGAATTCAGCAAACCCTTTCTTTCTGAAGACCTGCTCCTTTTTTGCTCAGCTAAATTTCCCTCCATTATTTCTGGGCATCCTCCTTTATCCTGTTCTCTCCTCCTGAAGTCCAGTTATTTGCATCCTGGGTCTTCTAACAAGTGCCCAGGTAATGCTGGTGCTGCTGGACCAAGGAGCACACTGAGGAATGAGCTAGAAGATGCAGGTTCAGCTGTGTCTGCACTGCCTCGGGGCTGCAAGTGTTGGCTGAGTGATAGGGACAACTTGAGGCCCAGGCAGGACCCACTCTGCATGATCATATCTGATACAGGGGAAGTAAGTTGGTCAACATTACCAGTGTGGGAAGATGGGGTAAGGGTGACTTCTAAGGGGGAACCAACCAGAGGAGCTCCTTCAAGCCAGGACTCGTTCATTCTGCGTGACTGACTGTGCTCCAGGCACTGTCTTAGGTGCTGAATGGAAAGGCTGTTATTGAAAAACAGTTTCTACTTTCAAAATTGCGATCTCACTTTCACAGTCTCATCTGATCCCAATTATAGCCCCAAAAGGCAGTTCTTACTCTTACCCCCATTTGGCAGATGTGGATACTGAGACACAGAGAATTAAGTGTGTTACCCAATGTCTGTTGCTCAGATAACTAAAGACAAAACCAGGACTCAAGCACATTTCCACTGACTGGGTACTGTCTACCACACTTGGCTTTCCCATTAAACCCAAATCCAGATTGGGTTATCCTTCCAGGGCCCTCTTCTAAGAGCTGGGATTAGCTTTCCTTGGCGCTTCAGCCACATTTCACGATCTCCTTCTAATAACATCCCTGCTGGCTCTCGACTTCACCCACCGATGCATCTTCATTGCAATAGGGACATGAATCCACAGTGGTGCCAGAACTGACCACAGTGCCCGGGTTCATTAGTGACTATGAAAACATCTTTGATTTGTCTCCACTGACACCTCTATCTTGGTTTCCATTTCTGCTTTGAAAGTGTGTTCTCAGGCCCAACATCTGGGATATCCAGCTGTGGAAAGGCCCTGTGGATGGCTTCCTGTTATTGCCAAGCAGATGATAGATCGCATCCACCCAGGTTTATGTTGAGCCCCCCTGTCGGAGACTTGCCTCATCAAGGCTCAGGCCTGCAGCCGGAAGCCCTGCTGCTTAGCCAGCACAGGAGAGACCAGAGAAGAGACTCCAAAAGGCCGGCTGTATTATGGATTTTCCTCATTTGGCGATGTCCTGGGTGAACCATTAAGAGTTGAATGCTGAGGATTAAAGCAGTCTGTTTTGGAGAGGAACATCTGCTTCATTTGTGCTCTTAGCAGTAGCAGCGCCAGCCGGTGTCATTTCTGCTGCTCTGATGGCAGGGCCAGAGCGAGGCTGTAACTGCTCAGTCCTCCTGTGCACTGCTCATCCTGCGGCCCCTGGGCCTTCGCCCACGCTGTCCCTGCCATCTGGGATGCCTTTCCCGCCTCTTCTCCACCTGCCCAGCCCGGCCTTCTCCCGCCAGCCTTCAGCTCCCAGCAGGCTCTCCTTCCCCATGACAGCATCTGTATCTGCCACTCTGCTTTGTCATTCAGCATCTGCTTTCCCCACTGCCCTTCTGTGCCCGGCTACACCAGGCGCGTCTCCTGCTTGGAGCTCACAAAGGACTCGCCAAAATGAGGCCAGAGTTAGGAGCAAAGACAAGCTAGAACCTAAGTCTCCTTCCTCTCTGCTGTGCTGTATTCTCCTTGACTAACTTGGTCTGTGACTCATTTTCTCCATCTGCCAGTGGAGATGACATCCCCTGTCCATCAACGTGGGCTGAGATTTGTTCTGGATAGCGCTCATTTTTGCCTCGTGGAGGTCATGTGGTGACGGTGGTGATCTTCTGACACCAAAGTCAGGCTAGAACCTAAGTCTCCTTCCTCTCTGCTGTGCTGTATTCTCCTTGACTAACTTGGTCTGTGACTCATTTTCTCCATCTGCCAGTGGAGATGACATCCCCTGTCCATCAACGTGGGCTGAGATTTGTTCTGGATAGCGCTCATTTTTGCCTCGTGGAGGTCATGTGGTGACGGTGGTGATCTTCTGACACAGGTTGCGGGTCGAGAAGCTCCCTTACCCCAATGCTATTGAGCTGTATATTCATCTCTCTTCCAGTTCTGGCAGTGTGGCCAGTGGGCGGAAGTGGTGGTTGATGATCGCCTGCCTGTCCTGAACAGGAAGTACCTCTTTGTGCATCCTCTCAACAACCAAGAGTTTTGGCCGTGCCTGCTGGAGAAAGCCTATGCCAAGTAAGGATGGGCTAGCCCCTCAGCCCAGGGTCTCGATGCTGCCCCGCCTGTGCAGCTGCTGGGCCTGGCAGGTGCTTCCCACCAGCCGGCCCGAGACTGTCGGCAGCTTTGCTGAATGCAAGCGATGCCCCTGGGAGCATCAGAGCCTTTGCACCTCGCTGGGCATCCTCCATAAACATTCACTGTGTGCAAGGCTGCATTGGGCCCTTGGGAGGGACCCAGAGGCACCTAGCAAGGGGTGGGCAGGGCAGGGCTGGACAGAGATATGCACTGGCAATGATATTATTGCAAGGGCTGGTAGAGAGCTCAAATAAAATATAATATCGTGGTCATAGTCTGCTGAGAGGACAAAGGAGAGAGAAAACAATTCTGACTTTCAGACTCACAGAGTCAGTCTGAGGCTACACAGAGGAGATGGCATGGAGTGAGGCCTTGAAGGATGGGTAGATTTCAGCAGGGGAAGAAGTATGTGGGGGAGGCATCCCAACCGTGGGAATGATTCCAACAGAGAACCAGGGGAGGGACAGTTCAAAGTGAGGTCGGGTCGGTGGGGGCCTGCTGGGGCTGCTGTGGGATTGCATTTATGTGGGAGGTTGGGGGAGATATTGTTCAGTATGATATGGTCCAAACACCATGATGTGGTGCTGTCTCCTGGAGTTGACAAGCTCAGGGACTTACAAACACCCCAGTTCACGTTTTGCTTAGATTCTTTTGGGCTACTTTTATTCAACAGAAGTTCATTGAGCATTTAACCATAGGCCAGGCTCTGTGCTTGGCACTGGGTTATAGATTCTCAGACTGGTTCATGTAGGTATGTGTGTGAAAGTACCTGTGTGTGTAAGAAGTCATTTTCTAAAGAACCACACAGGCGAGGGACACATCAGAGCTAGAAATCAACACTAGGAGACGAAAGCCTGAGGACCCTGCCTTTCGGGAGAAAACGGGCAGTGGAGAGTGTTGCCTCATCAGGTTTCCTAAAGGTCATCCTAACCAGCCCCTCATGCCCAGGCTCTGGATGGTGTTGTGACTCAGGTGTAAGTAGTTGGCCTGAATCTGCTGAGGTCCTCAGTCATGTGACAGAAGACATCATTTAGCAAGACCGAAGACCGGGTCCGATCCCATCCGGGGCCTCCCTGAGGGGTGGCGACAGCGCAGACTATCCGGCCCCTGTCCTTCTGGGGGGTCACAAGCTGAACAGCAAGACGTCTTGACACCTCTTTTTTTGCCTCCTTCCTTTTGAGCCAACTTGTCAAAAAGGAAAGCAGTTGCTCTCTCCAGTGTCAAGAAGAGCTGTTGGTTAGGATTGGAGAGTGAAGCCCAGATCCCAGTCTAGGTTATTGAACCAATTCATGTGCTTGGGAGGTTCATTCACAAACACTGCCATTATCTTTCCAGTATGGAGTCAAGCCTCACCCCTTCGGGGCCTTGTTTCTCCTCATGTAAAGGGTGGGGGATGAGGGGGAGCTGGCAGCTCACAGGGAGAATCAGAAAGCCTGTGGAATGGAATGATGACTCTGACCCCATTTTGTTAACAGCTGACCTAAGGCAGTCAGTCATTCAGCTTGAAAAGAAATAGGCAACTGGACCCTGAATCCACTCCCTAAAGAAATGTAGCCGAGGATAAAATGCTTCAACTATTAAGCTGTTTCAAAGCTTTCCCCTCCATCCAAAAGGGGAAGTAACAGAATGCAGGAGTGAGTTGGGTAGGATCACAGCCCATCAGAGCTGCAGCGCCGCTGTCAGCACCCCCTGGACCTTCTCCTTTGGGATGTGAGGGGACAGGCTCAGAGAGGTGAGATGACTTGCCCAAGGTCACAGGGAGTTTGAGGCCACGCTGGACGGAGAGCTGTACTCCGTCGGCACATGTTTTCCATCATCCCTTCATGCTGTCAGTCCTTTGGGAAAGGAGTTGTCTTTTTTGCTTCTTTGGTGCTCAGTGTCTGGCACATGGGGACCACAGCACGGACACAGAGAAGCTATCTGTCCAGACGAGATGGCCCTCTTTCCCTCCAAGGGTGTAGACACTGAGAAGTGAATACGTGGCCTCCAAACTTCCAACTCTCCTGCGGCTGGGAGTCTGGAAATGCACTGGTCAGGGCAGCCAAAGGGGGTGAGGGGGAGGAATCTGTGTTTGCAGATTTTTCCCCCTGAGGTCATAAAACAGAGAGGAGATTGGGGGCAAGATCAGGTGGGCTGCCTGTCGTCCCTTCTAGAATCTCTGCAGTTAAGAATTGCAGCATTTCCGCACCCTTTCTGGCTCTGATTTAGACATCTGAATCCTTCCCTCTTTCATATAGTTTCTGGAAAGATAGACATGTCCCCAAAATGAGGCGGAAGCAAACGGATGAGAACAAGGCTCTCTCCGAATTCCTGGATTCGGGTGATGAGGCGCAGTGACAGGTGTGGTGAGCACAGTGCTCGCTATCTCTCCTTCCCCTTCGCTCTTCTGTCAGCAAAGGGGGCTAAGAATAGCTGCCATGTTCCTGACGCATCAGCAGGATCGGTGAGCCCGTGCTGGTGAAGCAGAGAGGTAGCGCCTGCTGGGACGGGCTGTGGGCACTGCAGAGAGCCAGTGAGAGGCTGTGAAAGGCACGGAAGGGGGCTGCTGGCCGCGGGTCCTGTGCTTGCATCGGCTATCTCCGTGGTGACTGCAGAACGATGCTGGTGCAAGACATCGGCCAAAGCCACAGACCCTGAGGACGCGGGCCTGAGGTGACAGGGCAGAGCCCGGGAGCTGCTTTTCTGGGGTGACTCTGCTGCAGCCCTCTTTGAAGCTGGGGGCTAGGGGAGGGCCATTGCAGGGCCGGAGGCCACATTGCTGGGCTCAGAAATGGGTCTCTGAACTTGCAGTGCCCTCAGCAAAGCCCTCCCCATCTAAGATCAGGAGCCACAATACCTGTGGGAAATCAGGAGAGGCAGACATTCACACCCAACCGGGCACAGTCATGATCCAAGGCAAACTTTGCTGTTGACCAAGCAAACACCGCAGAGATAAGAGTCTGGTACCGGGCATAACCCTGAGTCTGAGAGAGGGAGAGAAAGATAAGATTGAGAACCAGTTTGATAACAAGTTGAGATCAGTCACGCGGTTGTTCCCATGGAATGGCTATTTTGTTCCGTGTATCCTTCACTCTCTTTACTAAAAGCCTTTTTCTAAGCCATCCACGGTATTTTTGCCTGGGATGGTGTCCCACTTACAATGGCTGCTTGATACGTATTTGCTGAAGTGAATTTACGTGAATTCTGGGTGATACTCTGGAGGAGAGAAGGACAGAGGTGTAAATGGGGTGAGAAAAGAGTGTCTGAGGAGCCCCCAGACCTGATCCAGCCAACCTCACCATTTCCAGGTGAAAGGCTGAGGACTGGGATGGGGGAGGGGGGAGGTCTTGTCCAAGGTCACAGGCCCATTAGAGGCAGCCGCAGGTTTAAACCCAGGCCCCGATGCCCGTGTGACTTGCATTCCCAGAAAGAAGGCTGTGGTAGGAATGCCGCTGCCGCTGGCCTGTGAAGGGCTTGGTGTCTGAACCTCCATTGCCTCTGTTATCTCCCTGGTGCTGCTGGGTGATAAATCTGAGAATGGGAACGGGAAACCGGGTCAACGTTTGGGCAAGTGAGAACAGAGGCTGCCTTGGCCTCAGCAGCCATCAGGGCGGATGCCCATGAGCTCTCTGAGGGCAGAAATGGGGTCCCGTTCACCTTTGAATGCTCAACACCTGGCATGACACCTCACACACAGTAAGCACCTACCATTATTGTTAAACTGAACAGGAAACAGTGGATACTCATCATAATAATATCCAGTACTTATTAAGGACTTGCCATAAGCCAGGCCCTAGGTCCAGCCCCATGAGGTTAAGTAACTTGTCCAGGGTCAAGCAGCTAAATACGGGGTGAGGTTGGGATCTGACCCCTGGCCTGCGGCTCCAGCACCTGCACTCCTGACCTCTATACAACACGGCCGCTCGCGGGGCTGCCCAGGCCCCGGGAGACCAGGGAAAGGATGTGGCTGCAGGTGGCAGATGCCTAGAGTCTCCATCCAGGTGAATGGAAGGTGGCTGGCTGTGGTCCGGGGTGGACAGACAGTCCATCACCTGCAGCACATGCAGAGGTCAGGTGCGCAGCCTCCCTTTCCGAGTGTCTCACTGATGGCACCACAGGGTTTGGGTCTGACTTTCCCTCCCAGGTTCCGAGGATCCTATCAGCACCTGCACTACGGCTACCTCCCCGATGCCCTGGTTGACCTCACGGGAGGGGTGGTCACCAGCATCAGCCTGCACTCCTCTTCCCCTTCTGACCTAGTGACGATGGTAAAGACCGCTGCCAAGGCAGGCTCCCTGATGACCTGTGCCACGCCGGCCGGGGTGAGTAGACCAGGAATCCTTCGCATGGGTCCGGGCTCTCCTCACCTGGCGTGTTCAGCCACTGGCTCCTTCAGCTAGGGAGGGAGCGGTCAAAGCCACCTACTGGAGCACAGTCGGTCATGCTGTACTTTACCAAGGTCACGTCCCTCAATTCTCAAGACAGCCCTCCCTCTGAGATAGGATTGCAGGATTCACTGACAGAAGAGGAAATGGGCTCAGAGAGGCCAAAGAAAATGCTCCCGTCACACAGTCAGCAGGTGGCTGAGCAGGGGTTCAGATGCTGCTCTCTGACCTCAAAGTCTTTACCTATTACTTCCCGTGACCAGAAGCAATGGGTCCAGAGTGAGCGGCTGGGGGGCCTTTGATTCTCAGTGTTTCTTTATAAAGACAGCCTCCCAAAGGCAGCATGGCCCGTTTTGAAAAGTCTGGATTAGCCTCCAAATTATTAGTCTGTTCTGAGATGGCCAGCTCCCTACTCACAAGGTGAGGATGCCTCCTTCACTCTTGAAACATGTGGACTTTGAGCCACACGTTCCTAATCTGAAACACCACCCAAAACTAAGATGCACTTCAAACCCCAATCACTCGCAGCGGGGTGGGGAAGCCCAGCAGACGGGTTCCCTGCCGTCTCAGGGATGGCGAGTGACTGGGGGAGCAAGCAGCCCTCCCCCCCAGGTCCTCAGGCTCTATCAGTCATGCAGTGGGTGGTCTCTTGAGGTATGAAATGCCTGGGGCCTTAACCACCCAGCAGCCTTCAAACTCCACCTGTAGAGACGAGTCCCAGGAATGCACGCCCTTCAGCTGGAGTCTGTAGGACACTTTTCACCAGGGCCGGCTGTGGCGCGGCGCAGGGCCCATGAATTGTGCTGTTCTCTCTCTCGGGAGAACCTGTGAAAGTCTAAGGCGTGGTCTGCTTTTCTCCCGTGAAGCCGACAGGGGAAGCCACAAGAATGGAGAATGGCCTGGTGAGCCAGCATGCCTACACCGTGACTGGGGCCGAGCAGGTAAGGCTCATGGGTTGGGCCCCATGGTCTTGCTCCTTGGAACAGGCGTCAGAACCACATGCCTCAGCAGGCCCAGCAAAGCTGCAGTGAGTGTTTATCTTCTTACCTGTGGTGGCGCCCGTCACAGACAGCTCAGTCCTTCTATTCGTCCAGAAGTTCTGGTGCCCAGTACCCTCACCCCCCAGGGATCCTGCTCTTCTTGAGGGCTCTCGGGCAGGAGGAGGGGCTAGCTGGACTGGTGATTACCCCTAAAGAACGCAGAATGAACTAGCCAGTTGACTCTAGGGGAAGTTTTGCCCTGAAGAGTTTTAGTTGTAACATACCAACTAAACTACTGTAACAGACGCTCCAAAATACAGGGCTCAAACAAGGTAAGGTTTGTTTTACTCTCAGATAAGCAGGCGGTCCGAGAGCTAGAAGGTGGCTCTGCCATCCATAGCATTGGACTTCCCCCTGTGAGCCCCAGGCAGCTGCCCCAGGCCCCCTCCTCATCCGGCCAGGGGAAGAGAAGGAGGCCAGGGGAAAGGGATGCATCCTTTTGGGAGGAACACATTGGGAAAGGCACACTCACAGGTTCCATTAATCTGAACATGTGGCCACACTGAGGCGCAGGGAGTCTGGGAAACATACTGTCTAGCTGGACCGCCACATGCCCGGCTGGAACTTTATTCCCATGGAAGAGGGCAGGGTGGCCACGGAGGACAGTCTTTCCCTTGATACAGAACTGACTGTGTGCACAAAAACGTATGTAATTACTGTGTGCAGAATCATCCGGTCCAGAAAATACTACTAAAGTCCAGCTTCCTCCATTCATAAGTGAAGAAGTGGAGGCCTGGGAGGGGACGGTCTCTCACAAGGTCACACAGCTACTTGAAGTGGCCGGGCCAACACCACAGCTCCTCGGTGCCCATCTACGTTTATCATGCAGCCATGCGGTGACAGCGCTTCCTGGCCTTGTGATGACTTCCCACAAAGGCTCCCCATCTCTGTACTTCCCACAAATCTCAAGGTGTAATACTGTCTTCAAGGCTCTACCAGATAGCATCCCAAACTCCAGGGAACATTTTTCACGGGCATTTGTGGGCCAAGGAAAGCGGAGTGCTGGGGTCTGTTTCTAGCATGCTTTCTCCTGCTGGCCTTCCCTCTCTCTGTATCAACCTGTCTCTCCTGTCCATCGACCTAAGGCCACTTGCTCCATTGTTTCATGTTTGGGGGAGTGTTCCAACCCACAAAACAAGGACAAAATCTTATGTCCCCCTAAAGAAATCAGTAAGAACTACTTCCTCTGCACAGTACCTGGGAAACAGTAGGCACCTACCATGCTAGTTGGATCAACGGATGGGTGCCCTTGTATGAGTGAGTGAATGCATTCGTCCTTGGCCTATGAAGGTGACATCATTGATCCTTCATCATAGATCATACGTGATGAGCTCAACACACATTTCCCACAAGCAAGGAAGGGGTTGTCCTGATACACCCAGGCCAGAAGAGATCCCAGTCCCAGTGGCTCCAGACTCCCTTCCTCTGAATTCTCCCAAGCCCTTCCCTGAATTCTCGGTAGGGACAGCCAATACCATCATCAAGCTTGGCTCTACGTCCAGGCACTGCTCCCCACACCTCCCCTGACCCAGATGTGGACAAGTTTGGGCTAGAGACAGCAAATTGGTTTTCTTATGAGTCAAACTTGATCATTGGCCATGCTGCCTGGATGGCTGTATGGACAAGACTTTGGCACTGCTTCCAGATCTGGGGCAAGAGCTGTGATTGGTGATGGTATCTGTGCTGGGCATGGAATGAAAGAACCATGGTGCCTGCATGATGCATCTTCCATTCCTGGACCCGGCCCTTGTTATTCACTGAGACAGTCTTTGTTTATCCTCTGAACACAGGCGAGAAGGGACTTGAGTGTTGAGAGGTCCAGATGGCCATGGATGTGAGTCCCCACAGAGGCTGGGCATGGCGACGGCAGAGACCGTCAGGCTATAGAGCGGCATGTATACACCAAGGGCCGAGGGAAGGGAGGTGAACTCAGGACTCAGGCTGTGGGGGTTTAGGCTCCAGATGATTCCTTTCACTATGTGAGTGTTTGCTCCCCCACAGCACACACGTTGAGTTGTTCCTGTAATACAATAAGTGGTCTGAACAGGACACGCCCCCCCCGCCCCCGAAGGCAGGTGATGAAGACTTCATGTCCTGTAGGCGCTGTCCTGCCCCTCTGTGGCTGCTGACACTCCCCAGCCTGTGCTGTAAGGAGCACCAGCCTGGTGAGATCCCCTGCTTGGAGATTCACGATGGACATTAACATTTTAAAGGCTCTGAGAAGGCCTGTATTAACCAGACAGGTACCGCTCAGTGTTAATCAACCTTGAAACCCTTTTCTAGGAATAAGCATTAACAGCCTATGGGTCTACCATCTGAGAGAATACATTTAAGGAAATACTATCCTAGGATAGAGAACTTGGATTAGCTCTCGTCTCGAATGGACTCCTGAGCCACCCGGCCACGGTCCATGTGATCCCCAGGAGGGCACTGACAGGAAAGGAGTGGCAGAGTCGGACAAGGGGCCAGGAACTTGCCTTAGTGAAAATTTCTCCTCCAGAAAGAGGAGGTTATAACTCTCTGCAAGTGTGAAGATTAAACCAGCCCATAAATGCCGTGTGCTTTTTAATCTGCTCATCCTCCCTCTGGGCGGGACACGGACAGGAAGATAAATGAAATTGGCATTTTTTATTATGTTCCTAGCTTGGTCCATGACTCCCCTGGGCAAGGGGTGAGTGTTTATCTGCACGCCTCATTTAGCCCTCTTCCAGCCCCCTCCGGTCACTGGCCACTCTTCTCCCCTGGGCCCAGCTGAGCCCTTGACTGTCTGTTAGGCACTGAGGGTGGCTCATTAAGCTCTTTGGGCCACGGGGCGACCATTACTCATTCCTGCTTTGTGGGCACCACCAGGTGCTGGCAGTCAGTACGTTGTGTGCAAAGCCTGGGGTGCTCTGGGGTAGGGCAGAGAGGGACAGGAAACCTGGGTTTGAGCGAGGAGCCCTCTACCCCCATCCTGTGTGGCATTTAAAGCCAGAGGGCCTTCCACTGCGGTGCCAGCCAAAGATAGAAGCAGACAAGGAAAAGCCACAGAAAAGAGCATTGCTCAAGCTAGGGTCTTGGAACCTCATCTCACTGCATTGCTCTGTCATGGCAATGCTTTACTGGTGATCCCATGGGCCTTGGCCAGGTGCGTAGGTTATATGCGGAGTCAGGTTCACAGCCACATCAAAGAATGGGCTGGGCACTGGAGCAGCTGTTCCTTTATTTCTCTTCCCCCTGCCCCCCTGCTCCCCCCTCTCCCTCCCTGGTTCCAAAATTAAGAGCCTGGGCTTTGGAGAGTGACTGTGGCTAGGGTCAGAATTCTGCCTCTGCCGCTTACTCTATGGCCTTGAGAAAGTTGCTTAACCTCTCTGATGCTCAGTCCCCTCCTCTGCAAGACAGCGATTGTGTGAAAATCTACCTGCGAGGATTGGAAGATGTAACGCACATCAGGCACTTGGCCGGAGCCTGGTTCCGAGCACACGGGTTCTTTTCCATGTGGACGATATTCAGCTCAGCCTCCTCTGACCTGGAGTCATTGAACAAGTCCGCCCCCTCCCTCACCCCCAGGCCCCTGTCTCCGCAGACAACATTAGCACAGATCAATATCCCAGCTACAGCTCGATCATACTTTAATTTCTCTCGCCAGGCTGAGCGCTGCTGGATCCGGGACTGTAGGTCCAAGGGTCGCCATTATTTCATTGTAATTTTTCAATAGTTCTGCCCTCTGGCCTCAAGTGGTCTGCAAAAGCAAATGTACCAACTCCCTTTCTGGGAGTGAGTGATGAGGAGGTCCCCGGGGGAAAGGCAAGGCCAAGCCACAGAGGCTCCCTGCTCCGGAACAGAGATAGGGGCGCAGGATGATGCGGGCTACCCCCCGCCCCCGACATCTCCATTTCCAAGTGGTCCCAGTCTTGCTCAATCCTCCTGTGAGACCCAGCACCGCTCCCAGTGGGCGCCTGGCAGGGAAGCAGCAAGGATGGGGTAGAGATGCCGGCTGCGGCAGGGCCTGGAGGAAGCTCGAGACCCACACGTCCTTCCCTCTGCAGCTGGAGGCAGCATCCATGCTATTTGCCTGCTGTTAAATCAGCTCACCCCGGTTCTGGGGTTCAGTCGGAAGGAACGATGACGTGGCCCCTGCTCGGCGAGGTGCTGAGCAGAAGGGGCCATTTTCTCCTCTGCCTCATTCCAGCTCCGTGCAGGCAGCAGTCATTGATTTTTATTTTTCCTTATTTATTTATTTTTTTTTCTGGCTGCAGCCAAATGAGGTCAGAAGTTAAATGAGTCCTTGGAGGTAAAGAGCAGCTGCATTCATATCCCCCCTTTCTGCTGACTTTGGCTGGAGGCCTCTGACGGTGTCCTTTTCTCTTCCTTGCAGATTCAGTACCGGGGGCGCTGGGAAGACCTCCTCCGCCTGTGGAACCCCTGGGGCCAGGACGAGTGGCGAGGGCGCTGGAGTGACGGGTACGGTTTCCGAGAACCTCTCTATCTGTCACCGAGCCCCCTGTTCGGAGAGGCCCCTGCCCCGTGGAGTCTGTCTCCCCTGCTGTGAAGCTCACTGCAGGCTTTTCCAGATCACACCTGTCTGACTGTCAGTCCGTCTCGCACTCCCATGAGGCCACTCACCAGACATCTATTAGACACTGACTGTGTCCTGTCTGTGCTACATGCACCGTTGGGTGGGTGCTGTGGGACATATACAGATGACAAGGCCCAGTGTCTATAGAAGGTTGCAGTCTAAGCTTTGGAGCTCATACCCAGAATTGGTTGAAAACATGAAAATAAAAAGTGGAGGCAGAGCAGGAGCCAAGCTCCACCTGCCAGGAGAGCGGAGAGAAGGCCCTCACCCCATCACTGGGACTGCTGGGATTCTGTCCTGATGACGCCGTGTCCTCAGGGTGAAAAGACTTCTTTGGGGGGCAGGGGGTTAGGGAACTGAGACAAAGGTCCGGATGGATATCGTTTTACTCAGTCCGGCTGGGTCGACGCCCTGCCCTACTGACCGGACTCGCTGTGGCTGGTGCCGGACCAGCACCTTGCTCTGAGTAGGAATGGATGGAGCTGAGCGGGTCTCAGATGCCCCTATCTACCTGCGAGGATTGGAAGATGTAACGCACATCAGGCACTTGGCCGGAGCCTGGTTCCGAGCACAACGGGTTCTTTTCCATGTGACGATATTCAGCTCAGCCTCCTCTGACCTGGAGTCATTGAACAAGTCCGCCCCCTCCCTCACCCCCAGGCCCCTGTCTCCGCAGACAACATTAGCACAGATCAATATCCCAGCTACAGCTCGATCATACTTTAATTTCTCTCGCCAGGCTGAGCGCTGCTGGATCCGGGACTGTAGGTCCAAGGGTCGCCATTATTTCATTGTAATTTTTCAATAGTTCTGCCCTCTGGCCTCAAGTGGTCTGAAAAAGCAAATGTACCAACTCCCTTTCTGGGAGTGAGTGATGAGGAGGTCCCCGGGGGAAAGGCAAGGCCAAGCCACAGAGGCTCCCTGCTCCGGAACAGAGATAGGGGCGCAGGATGATGCGGGCTACCCCCCGCCCCCGACATCTCCATTTCCAAGTGGTCCCAGTCTTGCTCAATCCTCCTGTGAGACCCAGCACCGCTCCCAGTGGGCGCCTGGCAGGGAAGCAGCAAGGATGGGGTAGAGATGCCGGCTGCGGCAGGGCCTGGAGGAAGCTCGAGACCCACACGTCCTTCCCTCTGCAGCTGGAGGCAGCATCCATGCTATTTGCCTGCTGTTAAATCAGCTCACCCCGGTTCTGGGGTTCAGTCGGAAGGAACGATGACGTGGCCCCTGCTCGGCGAGGTGCTGAGCAGAAGGGGCCCTGCTCTCCTCTGCCTCATTCCAGCTCCGTGCAGGCAGCAGGCATTGATTTTTATTTTTCCTTATTTATTTATTTTTTTTTCTGGCTGCAGCCAAATGAGGTCAGAAGTTAAATGAGTCCTTGGAGGTAAAGAGCAGCTGCATTCATATCCCCTCTTTCTGCTGACTTTGGCTGGAGGCCTCTGACGGTGTCCTTTTCTCTTCCTTGCAGATTCAGTACCGGGGGCGCTGGGAAGACCTCCTCCGCCTGTGGAACCCCTGGGGCCAGGACGAGTGGCGAGGGCGCTGGAGTGATGGGTACGGTTTCCGAGAACCTCTCTATCTCTCACCGAGCCCCCTGTTCGGAGAGGCCCCTGCCCCGTGGAGTCTGTCTCCCCTGCTGTGAAGCTCACTGCAGGCTTTTCCAGATCACACCTGTCTGACTGTCAGTCCGTCTCACACTCCCATGAGACCACTCACCAGACATCTATTAGACACTGACTGTGTCCTGTCTGTGCTACATGCACTGTTGGGTGGGTGCTGTGGGACATAGACAGATGACAATGCCCAGTGTCTATAGAAGGTTGCAGTCTAAGCTTTGGAGCTCATACCCAGAATTGGTTGAAAACATGAAAATAAAAAGTGGAGGCAGAGCAGGAGCCAAGCTCCACCTGCCAGGAGAGCGGAGAGAAGGCCCTCACCCCATCACTGGGACTGCTGGGATTCTGTCCTGATGACGCCGTGTCCTCAAGGTGAAAAGACTTCTTTAGGGGGCAGGGGGTTAGGGAACTGAGACAAAGGTCTGGATGGATATCGTTTTACTTAGTCCGGCTGGGTCGACGCCCTGCCCTACTGACCGGACTCGCTGTGGCTGGTGCCGGACCAGCACCTTGCTCTGAGTAGGAATGGATGGAGCTGAGCGGGTCTCAGATGCCCCTGCTGGCCATGCCCCGGGCAGCTGCTCTCAGACCCAGCTGACTGTGGGGATCCAGCTGTGTGGTCAGAGGTTCCCAGAAGCTGGGCTGGCATTTCCCAGCTGCCAGGAGGACTAGTCCCTGAGCCCCACCCCCTTGCTGACTGGGAATGAGATGACGGTCCTGAGGACAGAGGGACGGTGACACTTACTTGCTGCCCTGGGCGGCCGGTGGGGCCCAACTCGTGGCGTTCCGCTGGGCCCATAAAGGTGTTCCTCTGATCATAAAGGTGTTGATCCGCATGGATCAGCGGCCACAGCAGCAGTGCTGGTGGGGAGGGGGGTCAGGGTGTGGGGAGGAGGTGGGAGCGGGAGAGAGAACAGGATTTGAAAGGCAATGCAAAGCATTCAGATAAACAGAACAGAAATCCAACAAGCAGTGAAAGCGCAGTGAAAAGTGAGTTCCAGAAGGCGAATGCACAGGTGGCCAGTGTCTCAGCCCCAATTTTCACACCCCTTTCCCCCCACTGCCCAGAATGTGGTCCAGCGGCCCCAGCCAGGCTGTGGCAGGGACTGTGACCCTTTGTGAGCCCCAGTGGCTGACGGCTGACGGGTGAGCCTGCACAAGGTGGCCCTCAGCCATTGGGAGATGGAAATGCCATTGGGATAGAGGGAAGGATCAGGGTCCAGGGAAGGAAAGCAAGGGAGAGGGGAGAGGGAGGATACAAGCCACATGAATTCACAGCGTAGACCTGGGTGTGACCTCCGATGCCCCTGGTGCACTGGGCTGCCGAACCCCCTCCACAGAGGGGAATGAATTTGCAAAACCAGGAGCCACTGAACAATGTTTTCACTCTGACCCTTTCTCCATTTTTCTTGCCTCTATTCTTCCTTCCTTCCCAGGGCTACCCTTTGCCCTTTCCAATGTAAATCTTTTCCAATTCTCCTTCCCAATCATCACCCCAAGCTGCCAAATAAAGTTTGGGGGGGGCGGGTGACATAAAAGCCAGACTCCCTGATTCCCATTTGGCTATGGGGCTAGGATTGGGGAGGGGCCAATGTCAATGACATTCCCCTGGGGTAGGAGGACAGGCGTGAATTCATGTGTTGATGTTTTGTTGCCCAGGCCTCCCAGGTTAAATATCAAATGACAGGGAAGGCAGCAGGGGACACGGGACATCAGGGACCGGAAGCCTCTGGCGGGCGGGCACATGTTCAGGGAAAGCTTGAATGAGGTTGAACTTGAGTTCAACTTCCAAAAGCAGGTATGGCTCCCTGCAGAAGAGATCACTGCGTAGGAAGGGACGTGTAGGCGACCCGCTTAGCCAGGAACATTTACAGTGTGTTCAAGGCCAACAAGTTGGCCTGGGGCAGAGGATCTGGGGAGAGAGGTGTTGGGAGCTGGGGCTGAACCCCATGCCAGCTTAGACATTTGGATTTACACCCTGTGAAGGCCTCTGAGCAGGGGAGGGATGTGTACACCGCAGGGGCTGACTCTGTAGGGTCAGGTGTTTGGGCTGAACATTGAGGTTCGCCATTTCCCACCAGAAACCAGGCTGGAAGGAAGCGACAGGACTGCATGAGCACTGTCTCCATGCAGGTGGTCTATTTCCTCTCTCCTCTTTAAAGAATGGGGGCGGAAGGAGAGAGCCGGATGGTCTAATCCCGGCCACAATTGAAATTTCAGTTGCACACACTTGAAGGCAAACTCGCATGAATCGATAGCATATTGATTTACACTACATTTATTTTCCCTTACACGCTGCAGAAAATGTAATTATCGCTTAATTATAAAATTGCCATTTTACAATAGCACATCTGACTGGCTCAGCCTGCAGCCAGGACCTGAGGGGTGGTGCCTGCCTGGCCCTCCCAGCACAGAGGTGACCCGCCCCTCCTCGGCCCTCGAGGAAAGCCACTGGCAGAGAAAGATCTCCTTGCCCGCCTGTGCCTCTGGGCCTGTGGCCCCTGAGCATGCCTCCCCATTGAGGAGTAGGCTGAGGAGGGGGCACCTGTTCCCTTCTGCCTGGGAGGGTCTCCTCCTTCACCCTAGGTCCTAGGACCAGCTTCAGGAACACAGTACCTCATGAAGTGGATAATTTTAATTATTAAGCAAGCAAACAATTAGTGCATGCCTACTGTCTGCCAAGGCATATGTTAAGCCCCATGATGATAGCATTACCATGGTGAGCAAGGCTCCTGAGCACGTGGAACTTGGAGGCCAGTGAGGAGACAGTCAATCAAGCTTCTTTGGAGAAGACCATGATGCTGGGAAAATAGAAGGAGGCAGGAAAAGAGAAAGACCGAATGTGAGAGGAAATGACTCCATAAAGGAAGCCCTAGGCAGGGGCATGCAGGAGCCGAGAGGGCTGATGAGACATCGCTCATAAGGCAGCCAGGAGTCAGAGCTGACTCAAAGGCAAGTAACACAGGGACAGTAACAAGCAACACAGGGTACCCTGTGCTGAGACAGGAGTGGGAGAGGGTGCCATGGAGCTTAAAGGGGGGGGGAGGGGCATTGACCCAAGGTGGAATTGAAGTGGCAGAGGGGGACAAGCAAAGCTTCCAGCTGAAGCGCCTTTTAGGAGGAAAGAAAAGTGAAATTTCTGGGTTACAGGACAAAAGGGAGAAAGACTATTACAGGCAGAGGGAGCGTCATGGTGAAGGCCAAGAGGCAGGAGGGAGGATAACGGGATTTCTAAGGAAGTGATGACGTTCATTCTTGCTGGAGTGTAGCACTCGAGGGTGGGGGTAGGGAAACAGGTCAAGTGCTTGGGTCAAGCCGGAGGGTTGGGCAGAGGCCAAGGTGCTGTCTCAGGAGTTTGACCTTCATCCTGAGCATCAAAGGCAACTGCTGATGTGTTCTAAGCGGGGAAATGCCATACTCAGATTTCTGGTTTAGAAAAATCATTTTGAGGTCAGTGTGGAGAATAGGTGGGAAAGTGGGCAGGGCTGAGCCCAGGGAGACCAGTTAGAAGCCGAAGAGGGAGATGGGGGTCTAGGGAAACAGCCATGGGGATGGAAACATGTGGGTGGCTTTGGGAGGGGTTTTGGAGCTGGAATCAAGAAATCATTATTATGGGTGATTGGATGTTCTCGCTCGGGCACCAGGAGGAGGCAGAGGGGAGTCCAGTTTGGGACGAGGTGGTTTCGAGGTCACTGTGGGGCTCTGGTGGAGACATGGGATGGACCCTGGCATGTATCCACCCAAAGCGCTGAAAAGAGGGTCGGGCTGGCGACAGCCTGGAAGCCCTCGGCACATAGAGAATGACTGATCCTGTCATGAGGTAGAATGACACCCTCCACTGTACCCAGGCACCGGTGGAGGCCTGGGCCACGGGCCCCTGCTGGGCCACGTGTGGCTGAGATGAAACGCTCTGGGAGGCCTCACCCTATGGTCTATCTGTCCACACCCAGGTCTCCAGAGTGGCAGGAAACCCGGGACCCACGGAAAAGCCAGCTGTATGAGAACAAGGATGATGGCGAGTTTTGGTATTTACTCTTCTTTTAAAATTGTATTTTAAATCTTTAACAGTTGCCCACACCCTCAAGCGTGCCCCTTTCCCTAAAGTTTTGTGAGATTAGAGATTGGCTTTGCAGAGACCTGTGTAGAGGGAGCCTTTTTTCTCAACTGAGACAGATGCTTTGAATGGACAATTCCTGGTGTGTTCTCACTTTGGGTGATAGATGCTTCATCTCTGAAATATTGGCACTTCCAGGAAATGTTAAGGGTAAAAGGAATATTGGCACCGGAGCTTGGAAACCAAGTTTCCTGGAAGCTGGGGTGCATGGTTTTCATGCCTGTATCTCCTGTGCTTCTTAATAAATATGTTTTTACTAGAGGCCCGGTACACAAAATTTGTGCACTAGTGGGGGGGGCGTGGTCCCTCAGCCTGGCCTGCACCCTCTAGCAGTCTGGGAGCCCTTGGGGGTTGTCCAGCAGCCGGACATCCTTAGCGCTGCTGCAGAGGCCATGAGCCCGGCTTCTGGCTGAGCGGCGCTCCCCCTGTGGGAGCGCACTGACCACCAGGGGGCAGCTCCTGTGTTGAGCATCTGCCCCCTGGTGGTCAGTGAGCGTCATAGTGACCGGTCGTTCCGCCATTAGGTCAATTTGCATATTAGCATTTTATTATATAGGATTGATTTCAGAGGAGAAGAGAGAGGAAGGGAAAGATAGAAACATCAATGATGAGAGAGAATCATTGATCAGCTGCCTCCTGCACACTCCCTACTGGGGATTGAGCCTGCAACCCTGGCATGCGCCCTGACTGGGAATCCAACTGGTGATCTCTTGATTCCTGGGTTGATGCTCAACTGCTGAGCCACACCCCACTGGGCTCTCCTGTGCTTCTTGTTGGGAGCTGGGGGCTCCCCAGTTTTCCTGCAGGAATTCCAAAAGAGTTAGCTTGGTTCATCGCCCAGCCCAGGCTCTAGAGCTCACAGTCAGACACTGGTGTCTCCGCCCAGTGGCTGTTGCAGGACTAGATGCTGTGAAAACACATTTCTGGCCATATGCTCTCATCTTAAAGGAAAAGAGGGACATTTCTCTGAGGGGCTGTCTGGTTTACTTAGTGACACAGTAAATGAGATTTAGCATATGGGAAAAGGAGGCAGGGTCTAAGTAATTAAGAACCAGGGGGACAAATGTAAATTAGAAGGAAAAATATTCCCAGTATCTCCGCTTTAATCACAGCATGAGGTGGGATGTTAGGTGTTGAATTCATTTTATTCTGATGATAAAAAACTCGACAATGAAATTGGCAAAGGGCCCCAGGGGAAGGCAGTTTCCTCGCAGCGCAGAGGACTCCTGGCAGAGGGACTGGCCGCCGTCCCGCTGGCCGGGAGCAGCCTGGCAGTTTGATCTGTGGGTCAAGGAGATGGCAGTCAGCGATCCAGCCTTTGCCAGGTGACATGCAAAACCCAGGATTTGCCTCTGCCCTTGTCCTCCCAGCCAGGGAAGGGAGTGGAAGGGTACTTGACCTCAGGTGACCCAGAATGAGAAGGAGGCTCTGATCTTGGGGTGGGGAGTGGTAAGTCAGTGAACACTGCAGCTGACAAGCAGAAGTACAGAGAAGTGAGGGGAACCCCCACCCTGGGGATAAAAACAGTGCTCATTAAGTGACGTGTATCTATTTTTAACAGGATGTCGCGTGAAGATTTCCAAGAGAACTTCTCCTGCCTGTATATATGTAACCAGTTTCCAGTCAGCCTGGACCTGGGACACATGCCCCATGAAAGATGGTCCCAGATGACGTTTAAGAACCGCATGACTCCAGGGAACACCACAGGTGGTTGTGACTGGTCATCATCCTGGCAGATGGGATGCTGCCAGCGCTGGTCCCATCCTGTTTCAGGTCTCAATGGCTCTTGATTCTGACCCATCAGCCTGAAGTTGGATGGAGAGGAATTTGTCAGCCTAGAGGGACAGCAGTACTTCCCCAAGGGAAATGGGTGCTGGTGGGGCGGGCAGGAGAATCTCAGATGTGTCTCCCTGGCCTTTCACTCTCCTGTTGTCTCCCAGGGCCAGAATAGGTCCACTGCTTCTCAGTCATTTCCAGGATGGTGGGAGGGCTAGGTTGAACTCTGTCCTTGCCCCGTACTGGCTTTGTGACTCTGGGAATGTTGCTGGTGTCTGTCCTCAGCCCCCGCTCCTGTGAACAGTGGGATTGGTAATCCCTGTCTGACCCTAGACACCACGAGCACCACCCAGACGTATGGGCGAACATCCCTGCCCCGGGTCGGTGTGTCCTGCCGCAGGGCACTGATGCAGAGGAAGCCTCTGGAGCCTGGCTCCGGGCTCCGGAGATAAATCATGTTGGCTGTGACCCTGGGAGTGTCACCTACTCTCACTGCACTCCCACTCCCCACGTGTGACAAGGATGAGTGGAACAGCTCCTTGTGAGGGTGACCCTGAGTGTGCTTACATATCCTGCATAGGAGAGGCTGTGAAACAACGTGTATGTGTGTGTGTGCATGTGTATGTGCATGTGTGTGCATGTGTGTGCGTGTGGGGGATGTGCATGTGTGTGTGTGAGTGTGTGGGGGGTGTGTGTATGTGTGGGTGTGTGTGTATGAGTGTGTGTGTGTGTAGGTTTGTGTATGTGTGTGTGCGTATGTGTGTGTGTATGAGTGTGTATGTATGCGTGTGTGCGTGCGTGTATGTGGGGGGGTGTGTGCGTGAGTGTGTATGTGTATAAGCGTGTGTATGTGTGTGTGTATGAGTGTGTGTGTGTGCGCACGTGTGTGTGCGTGTATGTGGGAGTGTGTGTGCATGAGTGTGTATGTGTATAAGTGTGTGTGTGTGTGTGTGTATGAGTGTGTGTGCATGAGTGTGCGTGTGTGTGCGTGTATGTGGGAGTGTGTGTGTATGAGTGTGTGTGGGTGTGTGTGCACCTAGACATGTGCATTCCCTCTCCTTGGCACCTGCCTGTCTTGAATGGTTTGCTGAGTGACCCCACCCCCCAGGGTGTCCCTCTTTTCAACCTCCAGGCTCTTCACTCTGCTGGTCTCATCTCTGTAGTTGAAGAAACATTTTCACCAAGTGGTGAATGTACTCCTCCTCCTTGTTTTTAAAAGGAGACTGAGGCTCACAAAATAAAGAAGCTGATTTCACAGCTAGTAACTATGAACACTGGGGCCCGGGCCTTAGGTCTTCACACCCAGAGGTTCTAACCACCAACCACCCCCAGGGCTCTCTGAACTCATGTCCCCCCCACCTCCCGCACCCTCCAGTCCCAGGAGCCAGGAGCTGAGCTGAACTCCAGCACCAGCTCTTTCTCTTGCAGAAGGACTTCAGAGGGACACACAGTACTTCTTCTCTGTGCCCGAGAGCGTGGAAGGCAACAATGTCGTCGTGTCTTTCAACATCGTGCCACAAAATGTAAAGGCAGAAGATGAGAAATTTCCACTAAACTTCCAGGTGTTCAAGGTAAGGCTGCTTGCTTCAGGGTTTGTTCTTTTGGGACATTCGTGTCCACCTGGTGGGGTGGGGGGCGGGGTGAGAGTAGCCAACCTGGCTAGGAGATGTCACTAAACCACAGCCTCAGAGATACAACCCAAAGGGGCTATAGAGTTCATCCGGTCCAACTCTAAACTTGCAGGAAAACCTGACAGAGAGAGGATTAGACTTGACCAAGTTTACGGTGGGACACACCTGCCCACGCCAGCATTTCCTGGTGTGCCGCGCTCTAATGCTTGTTGCTGAAACCGTGGTCCAGGTTCTGTCTGACCTCCAGGCCCTATCAACGTCTCGCTTTTCCTCCCAATTCTGTCATCATTGCTGTGATGAGTAACCACATCTGGCTGAGCTGACAGAGGGCGAGTCTCCTCTCAGGCACCTGCTCCCTCCTCCAGGTCCTTCCCCTTCCTGCTCCCCACAATGGGTTCGCTTTCCTTTTTCACAGCTCCACACGGGCCATGTGCAGTGGTCCCCATTCATCCCTGGGTGTGCCAGGCAACAGGCAGACTGCACAGAAAGAAGGAATGCAGGGCCCTGAGCCGGGCTGCTGGGATCTGCTTGCCCTTGGGTATTGATTTGGGTTTCTGATTCTGCCTTTCTTCTCTTTCCCCACAGGTCGACCCTCAGGTATGGCTCACTACAGCCCTCACTGGGCCCCTGTTGTTGTCTGTCGGTCAAGTGTTATGGACCGACACCCATGGACCAAGAGCCCTCACCAGGCCCCCACATTCACACTTCTTGCTGCCATTGAGCAAGTCAGTTCTGCAGGGTCAGGAGTCTGGGCAGGGCAATGAGGGTCCAGTGGAGGGAGGAGGGCAGGAGAGCAGGGAAGCAAGGAAAACCTTATCTTCTACATTGTAGAGGACACGATACCCACATGTGCGTACGTGTGTGCATGCACGCACGCACACACACACACAGAGCCACAGGACGGTGCTGGCTGTGCAGAATAACTAAGCTCATCATTACTTTTGCCAGAAGGGCTCAAGCAAGTCAGGCTCCCAACCCACTGGGGCTGCTGGGCATGTCAACAGCATCACTTTGGAGATTCCATCCAGAACTCTGGTGCATTCTTAGGATAGCCGCCTGTCTCCCGTCTCATCTTGTAGCACAGCCCTGTTTCCACCCCCTGAAAAAAAGAACAAAAAAAGCCCTCTCCCCTTCTCCTTGTTTTCCCCCAAGGCGGAGCTCACAAATAGTCATGTCATGCAGTGTAACCATTCTAAATGGAATGCCCATGCTCGACTGTACTGGGGAAAATTTATTTAGTAAGGGGCTTTTATTGTGTAATATGTATGTGACATCGGTAATGGGAACTGCGTTATATTTATTGTTTTATCTCTAAGAAAATATTGAAATAAAAGGAAAATGATCAGGGCCTATTATTCTCCAATGAGAAGAAATTTCAGGGCTCTGCTGGGAAGATGAAATGGAGGAAGTGCAGGGAGCCCCACTGTGGCAATACAGAGAGAGCTTCGCAGAAGGCACAGGGCAGAGGGGCCTGGGGGCTCCCGGAGGAACCCAGTGTTAAAACAGTCTCACTAGTTTCCATGAAATTCTTCATATATAGGTAAGCAGAGAGGTAAACCCAGAATCCAGGATGCTGTTAGATTTAATGAAATGAAACCTCTTGTCATATTTCTTTGCGTTCATTATAGTGTTAGCATCTATATTAAATAACGGTCTATCCCAGGGGTGGGCAAACTTTTTGACTCGAGGGCCACAATGGGTTCTTAAACTGGACCGGAGGGCCGGAACAAAAGCATGGATGGAGTGTTTGTGTGAACTAATATAAAGTCAAAGTAAACATCATTACATAAAAGGGTACGGTCTTTTTTTTTTTTTAGTTTTATTCATTTCAAACGGGCGGGATCCGGCCCGCGGGCCCTAGTTTGCCCACGGCTGGGACTCTAAACCCTCTTGCATTTTGAGGGTTTGGCCTAGCACCGTCTCCCTCATTAGGGCCTGTTTGGTTAATGGGGAGGCGTCTGGAAGGTGGAGGGTCTCCCTGGTGGCTGGGACGCACACCCACGGGGGCTTTCTCACCGTCCCCGTGTTTCCTCTAGTTTCAGCACTTCCGGGAGAGACTGCCGTCCACCTTTTTTTCCCGATTCAGAAGTGCTGACAAGGGCATCGTGACTAAAGCCAAGTACAACCTCACAAAGTGCTTCACGCTGAGCCCGGGGACCTATGTGGCGGTCGCGTCTGCGCGCAGAGAAGCAGTTGAGTTCTTGCTTCGAATCTTCCTGAAAATGCCAGACCCGGACCGGTAAGAACCTCTGGGGTTCTAACTGAAAATTCTACCTAATTTCATTAAAACACATTCAATGCCATGTTCATGGTCAAGACGGGTCAGCAAATGTACACCCTGCTGGGCAGCTCACCTCACCCCCTCCTGGACCTGAGGCAGACATCTCCGTGGTCATGGCGGTCTTCACAGTGGAGCATGGACGGAGCCTTCTCAGTCCAGCATGCCAGGCAGCCACTGGGATACCAGTCAGGGTCACAACTTGAGGTGACGCTTACCTGCCATCCTGGCAATGAGGGCTGCTGTCCATGCGTATCTTGTGAAAGGAACCACTTCCTAAATGGTTAAGGACCAGATGGCCCAAAAGACTGGACATGTGGTCATGCTGGTCATTGTCTGCCAACTGTCAGAGCCGCCCACTTCACAGCCGGCTGTGCCTAGGGCGCTCCACTCGGTCCTTGGCGTCGGTGCCCCCTGGGGTGCCCTCCATATGCAAGGCCCCTTTGAACAGTGAGCGGGCATCCTTGTCACACTGTCCCCCTGATTTTCTAGGAACCTGGGCAGCGGTTTCAACCTCAGAGCACTGCAGGTAGGTGTGCAGGAAGGTGGTGGCTAGGTCTCATTGGCCACATTCCATCCCCAAGAGCTTCTATCTTCCTCCTTCTTTCCTCATCACTGACCAATGAAAACAAACATTATAATGGGACGATGATGGCTCAAAGGGGCTGGGCAGAGGGGAGAAGGCCAGGCCTCCAAGGCCAGGCTGGGCCCAACCATCTTCTTTCCACCAACTTCCACTTTCCCCTTCCCCTAAAGGTTTCACCCGATTGCTGGATGAAGCCTCTGTCCCAGATCCAGGTGGGGGGTTCTTGTGCCCTCACTGTGCCAGACAGGTGCCTTCCTTTTCCAAAACTTTGATGTGGGCTATTTTCCCTTTGATCTAGGCAAGTCTTCCAGAAAATGGCTCCCAACAAAGCATTTTCTACAAATACGCCCAGCAGGTATGGTACTCAGCATGGGGACAGGTAATAGAGGGACCAGAGGGAAGGAAATCTGTCCCAGGCTTTTATCAGGATAAGGAGAGGAAAGGTAACTTCACGGGTTATTTTATCGGCCTCCTTCTCTGGACATCTCCGGAACTGATCTGGCTACCAAACTCTGGAGCGAAATGATGTCCCACCTGGGTGACGTCTGGGATGGAATGTAGAGCTTTTTAAATCTGTAAACAAGCAGCTGGCAACATCCCTTGAAATCTTTCCTTCTCCTGCTCTGCCAGCTCCCACCAACCTTGGCATCATTCCTCCCGGGAGATAGCCAGCTGCAGAAATCACCAACAGAACTCTTCCTGCCAAGCAAACCACCTATGTACACAGGGGATTTTCTTAATGGTTTTATAAACCGTTATAAAGAACTCCTTGACTTGTCAGGATAAAAACAGCTGCCAAGGGCTCTGCACGATGGGCTTTTTACCATTAATAATCATGTTGGGTGGAAAGTGATACAGATGATCGTGTGCATGGTGCCAGCCCCGGGCCAGGCAGAGGCCAAGGACAGGATGGATGCCAGACATTCAGACGGCTGCTGGGGCGGTGATGGCCAGGAGGCAGCCCAAAGGGAAATCATTCAGGAGCCTGGGCTCAGAGGAAAACTCAAGGAGAAGTAAAAAATGTGGCTGGCATGTAGGGTGCAGGTTGCTATTGGCCACATTCCATCCCCAAGAGCTTCTATCTTCTTCCTTCTTGCGTCATCACTGACCAATGAAAACAAACATTATAAGGGGATGATGATGGCTCAAAGGGGCCGGGCAGAGGGGAGAAGGCCAGGCCTCCAAGGCCAGGCTGGGCCCAACCATCTTCTTTCCACCAACTTCCACTTTCCCCTTCCCCTAAAGGTTTCACCCGATTGCTGGATGAAGCCTCTGTCCCAGATCCAGGTGGGGGGTTCTTGTGCCCTCACTGTGCCAGACAGGTGCCTTCCTTTTCCAAAAATTTGATGTGGGCTATTTTCCCTTTGATCCAGGCAAGTCTTCCAGAAAATGGCTCCCAACAAAGCATTTTCTACAAATACGCCCAGCAGGTATGGTACTCAGCATGGGGACAGGTAATAGAGGGACCAGAGGGAAGGAAATCTGTCCCAGGCTTTTATCAGGATAAGGAGAGGAAAGGTAACTTCACGGGTTATTTTATCGGCCTCCTTCTCTGGACATCTCCGGAACTGATCTGGCTACCAAACTCTGGAGCGAAATGATGTCCCACCTGGGTGACGTCTGGGATGGAATGTAGAGCTTTTTAAATCTGTAAACAAGCAGCTGGCAACATCCCTTGAAATCTTTCCTTCTCCTGCTCTGCCAGCTCCCACCAACCTTGGCATCATTCCTCCCGGGAGATAGCCAGCTGCAGAAATCACCAACAGAACTCTTCCTGCCAAGCAAACCACCTATGTACACAGGGGATTTTCTTAATGGTTTTATAAACCGTTATAAAGAACTCCTTGACTTGTCAGGATAAAAACAGCTGCCAAGGGCTCTGCACGATGGGCTTTTTACCATTAATAATCATGTTGGGTGGAAAGTGATACAGATGATCGTGTGCATGGTGCCAGCCCCGGGCCAGGCAGAGGCCAAGGACAGGATGGATGCCAGACATTCAGACGGCTGCTGGGGTGGTGATAGCCAGGAGGCAGGCAGCCCAAAGGGAAATCATTCAGGAGCCTGGGCTCAGAGGAAAACTCAAGGAGAAGTAAAGAATGTGGCTGGCATGTAGGGTGCAGGTTGCAAGGAGCACCTCCTTGAAATTAATATGGGCCCAGGATTCAGGTCCACATCTGGGCTGATTCAAAAGGCTCTTGACCTGATACAGTCTGTGAGGTCCTGAAGGCAGGGATGACATCATATGCATTCCTTGTCCCCAGACCTATCACTGCCCTTGGCACAGAGAAGGTGCTCAGTCAATCTGCACTGAATTAAGAGAGATTAGCTTCCCCTAGAGCAGATGCCCAAGCTCAGGTCACTGCCTCAAGCTGATCAGCAGGACCTGACTAGGTACCTGAGACCAAACTTCCTTCAGGGGTGAGTGGCAAATCCTCAACATGGTCTATGCACCTGCACATCTGAAATATAGTGATAAATTGGGAGATGATAAATGGTACGGATTCCCTAATTAGGACTTTTCTAAACAACAACCAAATGTCTCTCAGAGAGGGTCACTGGAGCCCATATGGGGCCTTTGTAGAAATGAGGCACAGATTGGTGCCAAACAGCTGGGAGTAGAACCCAGTCTGGACTCCAGTCCCTTCTCACCCCTTGCCCGGACACCCTTGAGCAGCATCAACCCGGCATCTTTCTGCAAAACCTGCAAGCTATACTCAAAAGTTGTGAAAGCAAAAAAAAAAAAAAATCCCATGTGCTCACTGTGTCCTTTCTCCTGATCTCTTGTATCCGTTTACCTAGATTTAAATGAATACAGTGACTTACTAGGACTGCTACCATTACCAAGAGTCACCTTCATCAGACATGGTAGTGGGGATGGTGCCATAACCCAGTGGCTACCTGTGGCCAGCAAGGACAGGTTGCTAATGGGGCAGGCCAGGCCCACCCATCCATCATTTATTTAGTTGGTAAACATGTCCCAATACCTAGGACATTCCAAGTACCATGCTACGCTTTGGGAATGCAGTGTCAGAACTCGAGAACTTCCACTGAGGTGGTACAGACAGAGTGCAATTCTTTGGGAATTCGTTGAGGCAAAGTTCATCTCCATTCCTAGCCTCATCTCCTCAAACATCCTGGTGGTGACTGGTCCAGGGTCCAGGTCAGGGGCTGTGCTGGGAGGTTGGGAGACCTGCAAGAGGGAGATAGGATCCATGCGTCAAAGCTGCTTATCTTCTCGTTGGTTGGAGTTCCTCACCAACATGTCAGCTGCTCTGCAAAGCAAGGTGCCATGTTTCTTTTGAGGAAAAAACTCAGTTGATGGTGGGCACACCAAAAGGACTTCCCTGACCCATGAGACATTGGAGGAATGACCTAAAGGCCAATTTCAGACACTGGCAGCATTTCTGGGGGCCTCATGAGGGGTCATCCTTCTAGCTAAAGTACAAGCTGCAGGATTGTTCTTGCTTTCAGTTCTGTGTGATGAGGCCAACCCTGGGGACAGCATGTCCTCTATGGGGTGCTGGTTCTCAGAAGACCCTAAGGAGGCACCTTCTTCCACCTGACCCAGCACCACTCTGCAAAGCCACCCGCTGGGAGTCCTCACTCCAACTCCTTCCCCGTGTAAATGCTTTGCCAGGGTGTTAATGTCCCATCATCCCCTCAGCTTTGACCAGGCTGGTGTAAGAAACGGCCACGTGTAGAGCAGCTCTTCTCTGTAAAATCATCATGGAAGACACTGCCCTTACAGCCACTCAATGTCCCTCATAGAAAATTGAATTCAGTTAATGCCTCCAGAAGTTCAGGCCAGGAAATGTTTCTCTCCCCTTAACCTCAATTGCTTCCCCCTTCCTGCTTCAGTGTCTGGGAAGACTAGCATTAAGTAATGGGTTCAATTAGAGCAGCTTCTCTTAGCTCAGGTTCCCAGCATTTTAATCTCCTCTCACTCCCCCCACCTCCACAACCCCACACATGTACATTCAATAGTCATATTTTCTTAGTCTCTTTCTGGAAGCAGATGGGGAAACATACCTATGGGGCTGAATTGATTCATTCAGCAATACTTCTCCTGAGGGACTCCCAAGTGCAAAGCATGGTGGGGGGGAAGCAAACACTGCTTTCAATCCAATCATGAATGAAGAGATAAATGCAAGGTACCCACACAAGGTATCAACCCTCGGGAGTAATCAGCACCACAGAGGTTCTGGGGAGGGAGTATCACCGTGGCCCGGAGCCATCAGGAGAGGCTTCCTGACAAAGATGAGCTGGGCACTGGGTGGGAACTGTGACTAGCAATCTGAGTGCTTTTCAGAGCCAGGCAGATGTGTCCCTCAGCTCCTGGGCACTGGATAATTCCTCCTTTGTTTGGACCAGGGACTAGGCATTGATGCCACCCAGCTTCAGAGACTTCTCAACCAGGAATTCCTGAAAGGTAAGGACCTGCTGTTCCCAACGTCATCCCCACTGCCGAGCCAGCCCAATGTCACCCTCCCTGACCCTTCAGTCCCGCCTGTTCTGCCCCCTCAGGACCTCCAGCGGACACCTTCTCTTTGGATGAGTGCCGGAGCATCGTGGCGCTGATGGATGTATCCTTTGCAGTCATCTCCCAGCCGTCCCCATCTGCTCTGTGGGCCTCCCAAGGAATCTAATGAGATGTTACAGAACCCTTTCTCTCAGTATTTTCTCTTTTTTTGGTTCTGCAAGCTCACCAAAGGGCCTGGCTTTCTGTGGATTCTAGTCTAACCCCCTAACTCTCCAAAATACTGGTAACTGTAATGCCCTAGCTGGTTTGGCTCAGTGGATAGAGTGTCAGCCTGCGGACTGAAGGGTCCCAGGTTTGATTCCAGTCAAGGGCACATGCCAGAGTTGCGGGCTTAGTCCCCAATACGGGGTGTGCAGGAAGCAGCCGATCAATGATTCTCTTTCATCATTGATGTTTCTATCTCTCCATCCCTCTCCCTTCCTCTCTGAAATCAATAAAAATATATATTTTTAATAATAGCCGCAGCAACAATGACAATAGTTACCATCTCTCAAGCAACTACAGAAGCACTGAAACTTGTGGAGAAGTCCTCAGTCTGTACACAGCAGTTGGACCCCAGGGGCAGATGGGAGACAGGGTCGGCCATCCAGTGACTTGTCCAGTTTCCATAGTCACGTGGCAGAGCAGGGAATCAAACCCAGGTCTCCTGCCTCCCCTCCTGGCTTCTTTCTCTGATGAGCCATGTGGGCCCTCCCCTGGCAGACAGGAAAGACCATCTTCCGGTGTGCATAGCCCCCAGCATGCCTGTAGCACTCCCCTCGGTGCAGGTGGTCTCCTGGGAGGAAGACAAACCCTGCTCTTTCACTCCTAACAGGACTTGATTGGGAATTTGAAGGTCATCGCTGTCAAACAAGAGGGCTTCTTGATGAAATTATATATCAGGCCCTGTCTCTGCCAGCAGATGAATCAAAACAGCCATAGCAGCCCCCCAGCCTGGGGCAGGTAGCCCTGGAGGAGTCACCCGCCGCGCCCCCCACCCCCCGCCCCAGCAAAGCAGATGGGTCTTTTCTACCCTTCCTCCTACTCACACTCCAGGCCCTCCGAGATCCATTCTTTTCTTGTCATCAGTTCTCATGAAATCCATCATATGGAATGGCTAGGGCTGGTTTTAAGACATCCATTCACATGCACACCTGGCCCACGTTCACGTCTCGGGCTGTTTCAGAAATTGCCATGACCCCCTCAGGCTTGTTCCCACTCAACTGGTGAAGGTTGTGGTTGGGGCTCTCTCTCTTCCCCTGGATGCAAGAGATGTTGGCCTCCCCTTTCTCAGGGCTTTCTTCTCCTTCCAATTCTCCATTTCCCCTTGTAAAATAAATCTAAGCCAGGTCCCTTTCAGACGCAGCAGGAGCCAGCTGGCGTGAGGCCCAGTCCCCGTCCGTGTCACTAGTTGAAGGATGGAGGGCTTGTTGGTGGGACCTGCGGCCCCTCTGCTCAGTGCACGCTGGACTGGTTAACTCTTAACTCCCGGCAGCTGAAAGTGAACGGGCAGCTCGACGAGGAGGAGTTCTCCAGGCTGTGGAGCCGACTCATCAGCTGCCAGGTACCGGCATGTTTGCTTTGGACTAGCACTCTTGTTCCATCCCGTTTAGCAGATAGTAGTGAGCACTTTCTCCTGCACCCAGGTTGAGGGGTGCAAAGAAAAGGAGCCTCACCAGGCCTCAAAGAGAACTCCCATTGTGTTTGGGGAGACATACATGCGTCACCAGAAGGCAGTGCCCGATGGAGTGGCAGGGTGAGGATCACTCTTGGAGGGTGGAGAGAAAGGGCTCTCCGTGGAGTGTAGCTAAACCACCAGCTATCCTTGCCCCCACATCCCTCCCTGGCACACGGCCGCATCCCCAGGCTGCCAGTTCATCTCCTTCCCTGCCCCTCCACGTGCTGGAAGGTACATCAAAACCACAGATGTGTGTGGCCATCCCAGTGCTCAGGACAAACTCTAACCTCCTCAGAGCTCTGCTCCAGATCCTCTGAGTTATGAGCCTCCTTTAGGGTCCAGGAGAGGCCCTTCCACTTGCTCCACGCACCCCTGCAGACCCCAACTAGGAGACTCCTTGCTCGTCCTCCCTGCACTCCCAGCCTGGGCAGCGCCCACCCACCCTGGGAGTCCAGCTCAGACACAACATTCCCGCAGGGCCTCCCTGGGGGGTCTTGTCCACCCCAGAGGCCCTGTGAGTTCTCCCCTCAGCTCCTAACACTTGAACTCGCAGCAGGAAACTAAAGTCCCTGTGTGTGTGGCTGTCCCAGGTTATCACCTGATCCCCAACTTGGGTCATTTGGGGTCTTGCAGGCACTGCAGTGGCTGACATGCCCCCCATTAGGTTGTGGGGTCCTCCAGGGCTAGGGCTTCCTCATAGCCATCTTCCTTCCCCACTGCCTTCCTTAGTGTCTAGCACACAGTAGGTGCTCAACGTGCTAAACAAATGACCAAACTATGAATTACTGAGTGAGTGAGGGGATGAATACCTCTCTGAGAACTTGGTGGTTATACTCACCAACAAAGCCAGGTAAGGCCAGAAAGGGTAAAGCTGCTATCTCCCACTGACTGTCTTCTGAAGTCAGCCTCAGACACACCAGCTGGAGTCCCACGACCTGCATGCTTAGCCCAAAGCAGTCCCTCCCCGGCCTGGGCATGCTTCCTCACCTGTGAAGTATGGGACAATCAGGGTTAGTGTGTGAATCAGGAGAGGCAGAACCATGCTGGAGAGGGAGAGCCCCCTGTAGAGGTTGAGGCGTTGGGGTTGCTATGGCCTGGGACACAGCTTGGTCCTGGACACAGCCCTCGCCTGCCTTGGTGCTCCCTGCACTCGCTCACTATGTGCAGGGCACCCTCCCGGCACTTTATACATAGATATCTGCACATTTACTCCCGGCAACTCACCTGGGAGCCAGGCCCTTGGGCCTGTGCTGCCGATGGGGAAGCAGGCCTGGGAAGAGGCAGTAACCTGCCCAAGGTACACGCCGGGCCGTAAGCCAGTCTGTGCTCTTCATCACCCCGTGCAGACTCTTTCGAGAGCTCCCCAGCTCCCCAGAAGGCAGCGAGCTGCCTGAGTGTCAGGAGCCCAGTGCAGGGTGAGGGAGAGGAGAGAGCAGGTTGGGAGAGGGGGTTGGGGAAGAAGAAAACCCCCTAGCACTGCAGCTGGAGGTCAGAGTGGGCTGCCTCCCCATCCCCCGCTGGGTGCCCTGCCTGTCTCTGAGCTGAGCCTCCAGGGATGGCAAAGGGATTTGCGGGACCTCCCTCTCCCAGGACGTCCTCTTCACGATGGGCCCTGGGACTCACACAGGCTCCTGGCCTCTCTCCCGTGTCAGAGCGTTTTCCAGAACACCCAGAGGAACACAGGCGTTTTCCTGAGCTCGGATTTGTGGAGGGCCATAAAGGATACAGGTAAAGCAGGGACCCTCTGAGCCCGATGATGGAGGGCGGCAGCGTGTGTGTGTGTGCGTGTGTGTGTGTGTGGCACACCCCTCACGGGCTGCAGGCAAGGCTGGTGCAGCGGAGCGGGCAGTCAGGACCAGCAGAGCTGTGGCTTCGTGGCCTCCCCTGGTTTACACCAGCCTCTGGGGCCTCCAGCTCTGGGCTCAGACTCTGCTTCCTTTGCCCGAGTTCTCACGTGCCAGTCAATGCTGCCGGCTGCCTTCTCCCCAGCACAGCTCTAACTGCGAGAGGGTAAGCCACATGATTGAAACCCTACCACCACACCGCCCTTGGGGACTCTTCATCTTGGCATCCGGGCCGTCGGGGTTCAACACCCACGGGCAGGCTGGTGCACTCGCCACAGAGGGTTTGGGGCTAAACGAAATCAATGGCATCTCTCTGCTGCAAGGAGGCAGAGCTTTCAGTCCCGGGCTAAGGATGCAGCCCTGCAGGAGCGCCTGGTGGTCGGGCAAGGACTTGTCCTCAGGTCATCTCATTCGATGGTCTCCACGACTCTGAAACTGGGAAGGGCGGGAATCACCGTCTCCACTGCGCCACGTGGGGAACGGCTCGCACAAAGGTTGAGTCAGGAAACCTGTGGCCCAGACTTCCTTGCAGGGGTCTCCGTCGGCAGCGAGCTGCTGGATCTCGTCTCCCTCAGGTACAGCGACAGCACCGGCCGGGTCAGCTTCCCCAGCCTGGTCTGCTTCCTGATGCGGCTGGAAGCCATGGCAAGTAAGTGTCACGTGGGGACACCCTGGAGACCTTCCCAGTGACCAGAAACCCAGGAGGGGACCAGGGATGCACTCCTGCCCCAGCCTGGGCAGTGGGCAGCCTGCAGTCCTGCCCCAGGAGCTGTTGCCCCAGGAGACAGAGCCAGCGCTAGCCTGCGTACTGGTGTCACCGGCTGGTGTCCCCAGGCTCCTTCTGCACCCTTTTCTCTCCAGGAGATCCCCTATCCCGGGCTCTCGTCTCCTCGTCACCCTGTTTACTCAGTGCTCCTTCCAGGGTCACGGCCGAATCACTGGGTCCCTCTCCAGATTGTGTTTATAGTTTAAACCTGCTCTGTAGTCATGTGGCGAATGACTTGGTCTCTGCAGGAGGAATTGCACACGCCAGCAAATAGCTGGGGGCAGGAGGTCTTTCCCCAGGCCGCAGAAACTCAGCTCTGTAGGCCAGAGGTTTGACGCTTTTTAGCAGCATACCCCTTTGTTGTAAATGAAATCTTATGTGAAACCCCAAGCTACAAAATAGCTCAAAATGGACCTGCCGTGGTTGAGGTAGCAGTGGCATCTGGCCTCAGCTCTAATCCTTACACCGCCCTGCCTCGTAGCATCACTGTAAACCCTACCGCTCTGAGCTAGACGATTCATGTTAAGATGGTGAGAACAGCCCTAGCTGATTTGGCTTGGTGGTTAGAGTGTAGGCCCGGACTGAAGGGTCCCACGTTCGATTTCAGTCAAGGCACATACCTCGGTTATAGGCTCAATCTCTGGCCCTGGTTTGGGAGCGCACTGGAGGCAACCAATTGATGTGTCTCTCTCACATTGATGCTTCTCCCTCTCTGTCTCTACCCCTGCCTTCCTCTCCCTCTAAAAATCAATGGAAAAAATATCCTCCAGTGAGGATTATCCAAAAAAATAAAAATAAAAGATTGTGAGAACGGAGTCCTGGGAGGGTAAATGAAAAGCCTGAGGCATAAACCTGTTCCAGAGAGTTCTCAGTTGGATGGGGGAGGTTCGTTCCCCAAATGATGCTCCGGAAATACTTCCAAAGACAAGCCCACACCGCCCCACGGCCAAGTGAGGAGACGCATAGTGCAGGGAGACGAAGAGGGAGAGAGGCATGTGGGCCGGAGCAGCCAGAGCAGTTCTGAAGACTTGAGCCCCAGCTGTCCCTGGAAAGGGAACAGGAGCCAAAGCATCCCCGTGGAGAGGGAGGGAGTTTCTCTGGCTTCACACAGAATCACCGCACTTGCTTTTATACGGGCCTGTCCTGATTCCTCTCCTCTCTACCGTAGAGACTTTCCACAACCTCTCCAAGGATGGAAAAGGACTCTACCTGACAGAAGTGGAGGTGAGCCGCCTTGCCCTCCCAGAGACAGGACCAGCCCAGCCCTCCTCTCCTCCCCAGATTCCAGGGGCATTTTTCTCCCTGAGGATATCGAACAGTCTGTCAGAGGCCAGCCAAGCTGCCGGCCCCCCTGCCTCCAATTACTGCCTTTATATATTGCTGGCTGCCAAGGCTGCTCTAGGAGCTTGGCAGACATTTTATTTTTTTCCGATAGCTTAATAAAGCAGAGGATTATGTGGAAGTCATAAATCCAAGCGGGAACTGAAGCACACCTGCTGAGCTCACTGTACATTAAACTTCCTCCCATTGAGTTTTGGAAAGAACCTCCTGGCCCAGCCAGCTGGTCGACCTCAGCTACCCTCCCACTGCCTGGCAGTGCAGGGAGTAGCAAGAGATATGCTGTGACAGGGGCGGGACCTCCTGCTTGGATTGGAATTAGCCAGTAAGGGTTGATGAGACTAGACAGAGATCTTTCAAGGGAGGAGGGTACCATTTGCCCTGATCTGTGTGAAGCTCATGAGTGTAAAGACTGGTTGTAATGAGAATGCTTATTTCCTAGTGGATGAACTTGGTCATGTACAACTGAAGCAAGGAGTAGAGCAGACCCCAGAGACCAGGTAAGACATGGCAGCTTTAGAATCATTTCTTCTTGGGGCCCAATTCCCCTTCACCTGCACACAAGACCCTCTCCCTGGGAGCAGCCTCAGAGGTTAAGGAGCCCTTATTTGTGTGAGCCAAGGGGACCTGAGGTTTTAAGGCCAGTGCTGCAGGTTTCATCCAAGTCATGGAGGCCAGTGGGTATTCATGAAAGAGAATGGCCTGAAAGTCATGAGTGAGGGAGTTAGAACAGTGATGGCGAACCTTTTGAACTCGGCGTGTCAGCATTTTGAAAAACCCTAACTTAACTCTGGTGCCATGTCACATATAGAAATTTTTTGATATTTGCAACCATAGTAAAACAAAGACTTATATTTTTGATATTTATTTTATATATTTAAATGCCATTTAACAAAGAAAAATCAACCAAAAAAAATGAGTTCGCGTGTCACCTCTGACAAGCGTGTCATAGGTTCGCCATCACTGCTATAAGGTGTGTAATGAGGGGTCACCACAATAAGTTTAGTTAACAACTGTCACCACACATAGTTACAGATTTTTTTTGTTATGATGAGAACTTTTATGATTTTCTCTCTTAGCAACTTTCAAATATACTAAATGTTGTTCACTATAGTCACCACACTGTACTTCTGCAGGACTTATCTATCTTAGAACTGGAAGTTTATACCTTTACCCACTCCAACCCCCACCTCTGGAAACGACCAATCTGTTCTCTGTATCTATAAGTTCAGTTTTCTTTTGTGTTTGGGTTTTTGTTTTTTGTTTTTTTAGATTAAAAGTGAAATCATATGGTATTTTTGTCTTTCTCTGCCTGACTTATTTTATTTAGCATAATGCCCTCAGTGTCCATCCCTGTCGTTGAAAATGGCAGAACTGCCTTCCTTTTTATGGCTGAGTAATATTCCATTGTATATAAACACCACATTTTCTTTATCCATTCATCCGTTGATGGACACTTAAATTGTTCCCATCTTTTGGCAATTGTAAATAATGCTGCAGTGAACATGGGGTGCAGATATCTTTTTAAATTATTGTTTTTGTTTCCTTTGGATAAATATCCAAAAGTAGAATTGCTGAATCATATGGTAGTTCTAGTTTTAATTTTGGGGAGAACCTCCATACTGTTTTCTATAGTGGCTGCATCAATTTACATTTCCACCAACAATGCACAAGGGTTTCCTTTTCCACACATTCTGTACAACACTTATCTCTTGTCTTTTTTATAATAGTGATTCCAACAGGCAGGTGTGAATTGATATCTTATTGTGGTTTTGATTGGCATTTTCCTGATGCTTAGTCATGTTGAGCAACTTTTCATGTGCCCATTGGCCAATTGTATATCTTCTTTGGAAAAGTATCTATTCAGATTTTCTGTCCATTTTTAAATCAATTGTTTGTTTTTTCTACTGAGTTATATGAGTTCTTTATATATTCTTTATATTAACCCCTTATCAGATATATAATTTGCAAATATTTTCTCCTATTCAGCAGGTTGCCTTTTCATTTTTGTTGATTTATTTTGCCTGCACAGAAGCTTTTTAGTTTGATATAGTCTCTCTTGTTTATTTTTCCTTTTGTTGCTTTTGCTTTTGGTGTCCATTCAAACAACTCATTGTCAAGACCAATGTCAAGATGATTATTCCCTATATTTTCTTCTAGGAGTTTTATGGTTTAAGATCTTATGTTCAAGTCTTTAATCTATTTTGAGTTGATTTTTGTGTGTGGTATAAAATAGGGGCCTGGTTTGATTTTAGAATTCTTAACTGAAGTTGCAATGAGGAAAGGCAATCACTCATCACAGCAAACGTTAATGTGTGGAGCAACAGAAATGATCAGACCTTGGGGACGTGAAAGTTGGGTCCAGCCCCAGATCAACCATTGCCTCACTATGTCGCTTTGGATGCATCACAGACATCTGTAGACATCAGCATCTATTTCTCTAGCATGAGTGTGCTGAAGAATTAACACCCATGTAACATTTTCTTCTACATTTTTACTTTTCAGAGAACAGACCTACAGATACATAGTCTACATCCCACCCTACTACAGCAGAAGCCCCTGCAGAGTCTGATAGAATATTCCGGAACTGGGGAGCTCAATATTTTGTGTTTCCATTGTTGGACACCTTCAGGTGTTAGGTGTTCTTTATCTAGAGGCAACAATCTACTTCCCTGGAACTTTCTATCCATGCTTCAAGCTCTACTCTCTGGACCACTGTAGAAAAATAGACTTGGACATGCCAGACCTTCAAATACTTTGCTGCCTAACCCAAAGCCTCTCTTCTTTCATTATCTCTGATGGTTCTTATCTAGGACTTTTTGGTGACCATTCTCTATATGCCAATGTCCCTTTGGAGTTTACAGTCCCCTATGCAGCAGACCTGTGATCAACACATTCTGGGGTCCTATTCTTTTTGTAAACAGCATTTATTTAATCTCCCAATCATGTACCTTGAAATTAAGACACAGACATGGTCTCTATAAAGAAATAATATTTTAGCATAAACATTTCCTGATGAATACCTGGTGCTTACTAATGAACAGAAGTCAACAAACATTGCAGAGATTCAAGTTAATTAGATTCAACTATATTTTCCTGAATTCCCCTTTCAATCCTTTTTAAAAATAGAACACTTGATCATTTCCAATTTGCCTGATTCCTATCTCCATCTGCATGATTTCCAATATCAGGAAGGATTCTTCAATTGTATCTTTAAGCTAATTTTGCATGTAGGACCTAAAGCTTGAACTTTTGAAATAACTGAACTCTCAATTATCCTTTCTCCCATAAAGGGTCTCAACTCCCTCTGCACTAATTTTCTCACACTTCCTGTTCCTTAAGATTATGTCAGAAGGAAGTATAATGTAAGTTGCGTGGTTATGTGTATTTCAGTCTCTTTCAGTAATGCCTGTCATCACCCTAAGAGTGCTCCCCCGACTTCCCTGTTAATCACAGCCCTCTGCCATCACATTATTAAAGCATATCCACTCACTCTTGGCTCATGGGTTGCTTCGCAGAATTGGAGGCAGGAGGATGAATAAATCCTGCCTCCAAATCTACAAACCCACTTTTATCTGTAATCATCTCCCACCTTCCTCTCATTATGCTAGAGGGCATATCCCTCTGAGGATGTCCTGGATCTAATTACCTTCCACCTTCTCAAGGGTTTGATTGAATGAATGCTCTCCTCTGACTTCTGAATACCAAACCTCTCTTTCTTTCTTCTGGAGCCTTCTAATTCCAATTTAAACATGCTTCCCTCTTAAATTTCCAGCCACAACTCCATCTCTTTCCTCCCTTTACAGGAAAACACTCATCGAGAGCCAACTGTCTCTACATCCTTTCCTCCCACTTTCTCCTAAAGTTGCTTCAATTCAGATTCTCAGACATCATCTCTCCCGGCCTTTTGCATTGGCTCCCTATCTGATTTCCTATGTCCACCCATATCCCTCAAATCAGTTTCCTGCAGTCTGAGCACACTTTAAAAGATTCATATCCAATCACTGAACTCCCCAGGTGAAAATCCTTCAGTGCTTTCCAATTGATATTCAGGAAATGTACGGAATCATGAACATGGTCTGCATCGCCTGGTCCCTGCCCTCCCATCTCACCACCCCTGTGTCTCTCCTCCTTCCTGCACTCTACTTCCACCGCCACAGCATCATTTTATTTCCTTTCGTATTTTATTCTTTTCCCAGCCTCAGGGCCTTTGCCCTTACTGTCTGCTCAGCCCGGGGTTAGTTACCTAACTCCTAAGAGTTCAGGTCTTAGCCCTATTGGGTTCCCGTGTTATTTACTCACATATCACACTTCCCCAATCATAACATTCAAAACACATTTTTATTGTTGTTGCCAACTTTTTCCCTTTTTAGAGCTTTATTATAATGCAACTCACACACCATACAGTCTACCCATTTAAGGTATAGGGTTCGATGCTTTTCAGTATAGTCACAGTGCTGTGCAGCCGTCACCACAATGTAATTTTAGAATATTTTTCATCACCACAAAAAGAAACCCCATGCCCATTAACGGTCACTTCATAATTTTGCCTGACACCTCTAGTGCTAGGCAACCTCTATTCTACTTTCTGTACCTGTATATAATTGGAATCATGTAATATGTGGTCCTTTGTGACTTCTTTCACTTAGCATGGTATTTTCACGGTTCATCCACGTGATAGAATGTATCAAGATATCATTTCTTTTTGGTGTCAAATAATATTTTATTTTTGTCAATATACCATATGTTATTCATTCATTCATAATTTGATGGACATTTAGGTTGTTTCTACTTCATGGCTTATTGTGGATAATCCTGCTATGAATGTTTGTATATAAGTTTTTGCATGGATGTATGTTTTTATTTCGCTTGGGTGTATGCCTAGGAGTGGAATTTCTGGGTCATATGGTAACTCTATATGTAACATGTTGAGGAACTGCCAAACTGTTTTCCAAAGCGGCTGCACCGTTTTCACATCCCCACCAGCAGTCAATGAGAGTGCATTTCTCCACATCCTCCACAGCACTTGTTGTCCGTCTTTTTTATGATAGCATCCTAGAGGGTGTGAAGTGATATCTCATTGTGGTTTTGATTTGCAGGTCCCTGGTGGCTTGTGATGTTAAGTATGTTTTTGGTGCTTATTGGCCATTAGTATAACTTCTTTAAAGAAATATCTATTTAAATCATTTGTCTGTTTTAAAATTGGGTTATTTGTCTTTTTGTTACTGGGTTGCAAGATATATATAGAGGGGTAGGCAAAAGTACGTTTACAGTTGTGAATATACAAAAGTTCATTCTTGTGTTATGATTAATTGTTGTATTATTTATTTGTATTATGACTGTAAACATATTTTTGGCCAGCCCTGTATTCTAGTACAAGTCCCTTGATCATGTTTGTGATTGCAAAACTTTTCTCTCATTCTTCATGTTGTCTTTTAAGTTTTTTGGTGATATTGTTTACAGAACATGAGTTTTTAATTTGGAAATGCAAATTACCTGTTTTTTCTTTTGTCACTTACACTTTAGGTATTGTATCTAAGAAATCATTGCCTACCCCCAAGATCATGAATATTTACTTCTATGTTTTACTCCCAACATTTTTATAGTTTATCTCTTACAGTTAGATCTTTGATCCATTTTGATGTAACTTTGTATATGATATGATGTAGTATCCAACTTTATTATTTTACATGTGTGTATCCAGGTGTCTACTTTTGTTCAAAAAGACTACTCTTTGCCCCATTGTATTGTCTTAGCACCCTTTCCAAAAATCAATTTATCATAATGTAAAGATTTATTTCTGAACTTTAAATTCTATTCCATTGTTCTACATCTGTCCTTATGCAAGTAATACAATGGGCTGGTCGCTGTAGCTGTCTAGTAAGTTTTGAAATCAGGAAGTGTGAGTCCTCCAACTTGGTTTTCCTTTTTCAAGATTGTTTTGGTGATTTGGGGTTCCTTGAATTTAATATAAGTTTTAGGATCAGCTTGCTAAATTCTGCAGGGGGAAAAAAGGCAGCTGGGGTTGTTATAACAATTGCGTAAATCTGCAGATCAATTTGGGGATATCACCGTGTTCGCAATATACGATATACGGTTTTCTGATCCATGTATGTGAGATGTCTCTCTGTGGTTTTTTTTTAGATCTTCCTTAATTTCTTTCAAAAAATTTTTGTTTATAGTGTAGAAATTCTGTACTTTCTTTGTTAAATTTATTCCTAAGTATTGTATTCTTTCTTTCAAAAAATGTTTGTTTATAGTGTAGAAATTCTGCACTTTCTTTCTTTGTTAAATTTATTCCTAAGTATTGTATTCTTTATGATGCTATTACAAATAATTTTAGTTTCAGATTGTTCATTGCTAATATATAGAAATAAAAGTAATTTGTGTATATCGATCTTACATTCTGCCACTTTACTGAACTCATTTTTTAGTTCTAGTAGTTTTCAAGGGATTCCTCGGGATTTTGTATAGACATAATTATATCATCTGCAAACGAGAGTTCTATTTCTTCCATCCCAATCTGGGTGGCTTTGATTTATTTTTCTTGTTCAATGTCCTGCCTAGAACTTCTAGTACAATGCTGAGTATAGGTGGAGAAAGCAGACATTCTTTTGTTACTGATCTTCAGAAAATGCCCAGTTTTTCACCAGTAGGTATGATCTTAGCTTTGTGGGTTTTGTAGCTACCATTAGTCAACCTGAGGAAGTTCTCCTCTATTTGTAGTTTGTGGAGTCAACACACTTTTAATTACCTGATGATGTCTGTGTTCCCTGCCACACTGTAAGGCTGGGTATACCTTCTCTGTTGCTACCTCGTTAGCATGCAGCAAAGTGAACCATTCAGTAATGATTTCCCAAATGACTGAAAGGAATTGTCCCTTCCGATTTCCCTCCTCCTTTGTTTTGTTCTCATCTCAACTTTTGTAAATATCGTCTTAAACCCAAATCTTCCTGATAGTTCAGCTATTCCTCTATTTTCTTCCCCATTGGGATGACTATGGAGCAGACAGTTAACATTATCTTGTTATAATCTCTAATATATCATGGTCAATATTCTTTCATAATGGCTATTGTCTAACTGATTGATCTTCTTACCCCTTTAAACTCTGCTTTCCTAAGTTCAGGGCACATTTTAACTCTGCCCAGCATTCCTTTACTTTGATGCTACAGAGTTCAAGTTGCTTTCTTCCAGGATCTTCCTCACGCCCAGTTAGGAAAGAGACTCCCGCTGTTGGCCAGCATTCAGTCCAGAGAATTCCCTCTCCTCACTCATCTGGTCCTCTGTGCAATGAAGCAGCCACTGGAACACGGAAAGGCCTTGTCCGATGAGCTATGTGAGCTTCTGCCCAGAGCCTGGGGCGCTGAAGGCCCTCAACAGTCTACTTTCCTCCGGGTCCCTCCCCACAAGCTGTGTCAACAAGCTTCGATCTGCCCTTGGACTCTCCAGGCAAGCTGTGGTGTCCACCACTGTGAACCCACCTCTGTGTCCCTCCTTCAACCACCTGTTGCCTCTGCCTTAGTAAGTGAGGAGGTAGAAGTGTGCAGCCAGACAACACCCCTTCCTCCCCTACCAGCAGGTC